CATGGTGGGTGGGTGGGCGGACTAGTTATTTTCAACCACCTTGAGTCACGCGGCGGTCACTGCGACTCGGCCAAGCCACTTCATTGTCCCCTCACCACATACCCACATACGCACACACCCTCCATAAAAGCAAGCAGCCACCCCTTTCTGATCCCCCAGGTACCTCATGGCCGCGGGGGGGTCGTCGTCCAGCGACCCAAAGTTGCCGTGCCCGTCTACGAGCGGGGACTGCATGGCAAAGGGCTGCGACATGCGCACCAGCGCATCATACACCGCGGTGTCGCCGTGCGGGTGGAACTTGCCCAGCACCTCGCCCACCACACGCGCGCACTTGCGGAAGGGCTTGCCCTGCGTCATGCCCAGCTCGTGCATGGCAAACAGGATGCGGCGGTGCACCGGCTTGAGGCCGTCGCGCACGTCGGGCAAGGCGCGCCCCACGATCACAGACATGGCGTACTGTGTGTGTGGGTGGGCGCGGGATGATGGTGGTGATGGGAGGGGCCAGTGGGCCGAGGCGGGGGAGTGGATGGGGAAATCATCAGGCCCCCGCCACCAGGGAATCAGCGGGGGGTTGTGGCTCCTCCTGGGTGGGAACCTGCACTGCTCCTTTCACAACCTCCAGGCACAGGAGCACAGCCGCGCCGCACCGAGAGGTAGGACTTTTCGGCCTCGGCGACCAGCTCCGTCTCGATGATGCGGTTGGCGATGGGGGGCTCAGGGGCGGCGGCCCCATTGCGCGGCGAGGCTGAGGTGGTAAAGGAGGGGCGCTGGGGACAACGCTGCCGATCCAGAGGGTGGTGGCCCTGGCGATTGGTGATGGGGGAGGGGAGAAGATGTCATGGGAATGCCAGTGGAGAAAAGTATTAATGCTTACACAAGATGTTGGACAACTTCTGTCCATGGTATCTCCATGCTGCTGCAGAGGAACAGTGATCTCAGCTGATGCCCCTGCCCCATCCCTTTATCTTTGCCAGCACGGGTACAAAGAGCTCACATGTGGCTGCAGGGAGGAAGTGGGCACCTGAAGGGGCACCCTCGTGCTCCACGGCAGGGATCCGCTGAGGAAGCTGCGTCCGCTCAACATGGAGCTTCCCACCCTACGGGCCGCGTCGAGGCGCATGTCTCCCGTGTTCATTCCTTGCCCATACCCCAGGGCGCCCGGGGTGCGTGTGAGTGTGAAGGGAATGCCAGTGCCGATGGACAAAAGGCGCAGGAATCACGAGATATTAGACATAATCTAATCTTCGTATTGTTTCCACCTAGTGCGTGGGAATAGGTCGCGCTGGCTGCGCTTGGGAATTCGGTCTCGCAGTCTGGATTGCCCAGCATGCCATGCATGCTTTAGTCCCTGTGGCCATGGTCCCCATCTCGTCCAGTTACCAGGAAACAATCCTTCCCTTATCGTACTTGGTACTTTGTTGTTATAAGAATAACCATTTGACTTCCTTCCCCTCGTTTTGCCGTCCTGTTGCCTCGCAAGCACTTCGGAAGTGATCTGCACGGCCTTTCTCCCCTTGAGCTTACTCATTAACGACACCCCTGTTTCGCCGATTGGGTGTCCTGGCTAACAACGCATGCACTGGATACAGAGGCGTGTTGCGTCGCGCATTGCGGCCCATCCTCCGTGCCGGTAGCCTGCAGGGGCCTGCCGCCTGGGCCGCGGCCGCGATGAACCCTCAGACGGCCCTGAGGGGTGCCATGCAACGAGGGGAGCCGATCATGTTCCGCATCACCATAGACAGGCTGAGGGAGGACAGGCGCCAGACCAACCACGCCAAGAGCCAGCTGGCCCTCGCCTTCTGCCAGGTGCTTGGTTGTGTAAGATCGCAGCTCAGGCGCTGATGACACTCAGCAATGCCTGAATGGCTAGCCACTCAGGGCTTCTGCCTGGAATCCGCCTGTTGTGCTTCAGTGCACTGCACCCCTCCCCCCACTGCCTCTCTCGCAAGGAGGAAGACAGCGAGTGCCCGCCAGCTCACAACCAAGAATCCATGCCCCCACCGCCCCACAGGCCCCCCCCGCCCAGGCCCACGCCTTTGCACTGGCCCTGGTGGCCGAGTGCTGCGCCGTGGGCGACTGGGATGAGTCCATGATCATGTGCGCCCAGTGGGCCCTGGAGACGCTGGGCAAGCGCGCCGGCGCCGACGGGGACGCGGATGGCGAGGGAGTCGGCGAGGCGCGCGAGTCGCTGCGGGGCGAGGCGCTGCGCTCCTTCCTGTGCTGCTGCGCGGACGGCCAGCTGAAGCTGGCGCTGCGAGTGGGCACGCTGTTCCGCCTGGATCTCCAGGCGGAGATGACCGCGGAGGAGCGGGGGGGCATGGCGCGCCGGCTGGCCGAGGCCTGCGCCGCCAACGCCGCCGCGGCCGGCGCGGTGGCGCTGCTGCGCCGCTGGCCCTGCCTACAGCTGGGCGAGGCGGTGCCTGGTGTGTTGCTGCCGCGCCTGGTGGCCCAGGGCCTCTCTTCCCTGGCCATTTCCTGGGCGGAGGAGCTGGACGGCGACGTGCAGGTTGTTAGTTTTTTGGGGGGGGTTATGAGTGGGAAAGGAGGACATGGGCGCGGGGCAAGCGACGGCGGTCGGCCATGCTCCGGCCCCTTTACTGTTGGTACTCCCCATGGGCCCAGGAGCACGCCCTTCCTTGCCCCAGTGATGCCCCTTCCCGGACCCCCTCCCACCTGGCCAGACCCTGGTGCTGCATGCGTGCATAGCGCGCAACCACCTGCGCTCCGCCCGGGCCCTGGTCAGCGCGTGCCGCATGGGCGCGGCGGCCCAGGCGACGCTGGAAGCGGCGCTGGTGGCGCGCCTGCTGGCCTGCGGCGCCTGGGGCCCGGCCCTGCAGCGCACGGGCGGCGACGCCGGGCTGCAGCGCCGCGTGCTGGACGCCATGGTGCTGGCCGGCGAGGCCGAGCTGGCGCGGGAGACCGCGGCGGGGCTGGGCCTGGCGCTGGAGGACGACGCGGCGTTGCGCGCGGCGGCGGCCGAGCGCGCGGCGCGCCACCTCCCGCTGGACCTCCCCGCCACGGCGGTGCGCTTCGTGGACGACGCGGCAGGGCTGGACCGCGTGCGCGCCTGGCTGGAGGGCTTGGCGGTCCGCGGCGCGCGCGGCGAGCTGGTCGTCGTCGGCGTGGACGCTGAGTGGCAGCCCGCCGACGCCGACGTGGGGCTGGAGAACGGCGGCGGGGACGGAGGCGGCGAGCACCCCATCAGCATCTTGCAGCTGGCCGACGCCGAGCGGGTGTGGGTGCTGGACATGCTGCGCCTGGGGGAGCGAGAGGCCGGCACAGCGCTGCGCGCGCTGTGCGACCCCGCGCTCGTCAAGGCCGGGTGCGGTCTGGCGGACGACGTCGCCAAGCTGGCATGGGCCTGCCCCGCCCTGCGCAACATGCGCAGCTGCCTGGACCTGGCGCGTTTGCGGACGTTCAGTGCGTATTGGACTTTTTGGTTTGGGGGGGGGGGGGAGGGAGGGGCATGAAGGCTTCGTGGGAGGGCTGGCGGGAGCCCAAGCTCATCACATGGTCCAAAGAGAGGCGTAGTGCTCTGGGTGGAGTGAAATGATTGCTTGAGCCTGGAACTGATGGCGCTATGGAAGCCTGAGACTGTGGTGATTGCGGTCAAGCCTTCCTGGCTTGACCCTGACCTGCGGTCCCCGAAACATTTCCACCTTTCATACTCTCAAATCCCCTGGCAGTGGGACCGCTGGCCAACAAGAGAGGCATGCTGGGCCTCTCCAGCGCGGCGGAGGCGATGCTGGGCAAGCCGCTGGACAAGGGCCTGCGCATGTCGGCCTGGCAGCGGCGACCCCTCACCCCCGCCCAGCTCAGGTGCTGCGGGCGACGGGGCTTGCAATGGTGGGCGTTGTCAGTGTATACCAGGCACAAGGGTCATCAGTGGGTGTGTTCAGTGAAGAGCCACCCCTGCATCCCATCCTGTGCACCGCAGGTACGCCGCCCTGGACGCGCTGGTGTCGGTACAGATTGTGGACGCCATCGTGCGACAAAACCCCAAGCTGGGGAGCAGGCGGGGCCTCCATGCCTATGTGTTTGATGCCGCCCGCGTCTGATGAAGCATGGGGTGGATATTTCGTTGTGCTAGGCCCACTAGCCAGTATTGGTGTCGTTCACGGTCGTTGCATTCCCCAGGTGTGTCGGAAGTGGGGTGGAAAGCAGGGCGCGTCAGCGATCTACACGGCCAGTGTAAGACGCTCTTGGGATGGAGGTCTGCCAGGATTCGTGCTGCACATCCCATTCCTCGCCATGCAGCGCATCACGATCACGGCCTGCGGCCGTTCGGCGGCTGCGATAGCAGGAGCGGGTCTCGCGGGAGGTGCAGGGCTTCGTGCCGGAGCTGCTCGGCCACAGCCGCAGGTGGCGGGGGATGGTCGTTGTAGACAGGTGTAATTATCTTGTGTGAACACTATATTGCAATCTTCCTGCTCGTAGAGGTGGTCCGATGCCTGATCGGCTGACTGAAACTGTCCTCTGGCACCTCGCAGCCCTCTCCTCAACTCCGCCACGAGAGCATCTTCGTCGAGGAGGTGCGCCTGTGTCACGTGTGGCAATCTGGAGAAGTTCAATGTGTGCGATGGATGCGAGATCGAGCCAGAGGTGTATCTGCGCTAGGCAATCATGAGAGAGGAGACTGCCCCTCAAAAGCAGGCCCTCAACCATGCCCGCTCCCCCTTGTCACAGGACGCTGATGGCTGGGATGTGGTATGGAACCCGGTGTCCCGCCAGGAGGTCACACAGGCCCTGCAGGACTTTGCGGTGGCGGGTGGCGTGGGCCCCGAGGGTCCCCTGCTGCCCCCCGGAACCATCCTCCTGGAGGACATCACCTCCGACGCCGGGTCCAGCACCAGCGAGGGGAGCGAGGCCAATATGGCCATGCTGTACGCCGAGCGCTGCGACGAGACCCAAGGCTTGGGGGGCCTGGAGGAGGGTATGATTGGGGTGCTGACAGGGCTGCTGAATAACCCAGCGGTGCTGGGGCCCATCCAGGAGGCTCTCCAGCGCGACGCCAACTTCCATTGCCTGTTGACAGACGCCAGGGGGGGCCAGGCCGTTCTGGTACGATGCAATGGGGGGTCGGGTTGGTGAAGGGGGGAAATGGCGGCTCCTTTTCGCTGTGGAACGCCTTGCAGCCATCGGCGCTGCCAAGTCCCTGCCCCTGCGCTGCCTCAAACCATGCATTGTCCTTGCTGCAAGCCCTGTGCGGGCGCCGACGCCTCGTCATCCCCCTTTTCCCCCCGCAACGCACAGTTGCCTGCGCCAGAGCCCCGCCCGCGGCTGGCCCTGGAGGGACCAGGCGCAGAGCCCCTGACGCTGATGAGCCTGCTGGAGGGCCTGGCGGCAGGCATCGGCGAGGTGGCTGCCCGCCTGGAGGACGCTTTCGCCCAGGTGACGCAGCTCCTGAGGTCGCTGGGCGAGTCGCTGCGCGCTGCGCTGGACCCAGACGGCCCCCGCCCCGCTGTGCACGGCGCACCGGGGTCCGCGGCCGCCGACCCCCGCGTGGGCAAGGCGGTGACCAGGCTGGCCCTGGCGGTGGCCGTCTTTGTCATCTTCCGCCGGGCGGCGCCCGGACTGCTCATGCGCGTGTGATCAGGGCAGCGCAGGCCTATTGCTTACGCGAGAAGAAGATTTCTGATGCACCGTTCCTACCCTGTACACCTGTGCATGCCTGTTGTGGGTACTCTGAACCCTGCATGTGGGGCCAGAGACCTGTGGCTGGTCCTGCAGGACCTCCTCCCGGCCCACCTGTACCATGGCTGCCCCCTGTCTCAGCTACGAGACGCTGGATTTGTGCCGTACCTCTGGCTTCCACAACAAGTGGATGTGTACACCCAAGGCCACGAGATAATCAGTGTTTGAAGCGGGGAGAACCCTGAGGAATTCCCAAGATGGGAGACAAGGGTGGCTGGATGCCTTACGACAGGCACGCGATGCGACGAATGATGGTCTCTCTCCAGTATTGACGGCCGCACAGCGGCAAATGTACTGTTGTCCTCACAGCAAATGATTGACGGGCAGTTTATTGAACTCGATCCTGCATAAAGTGCAGCGGCTTGCTGGGATGTCTGGTGTAATGCCTTTCGAAATGTGGCACGGAACAGGGGTGCATGACGACTCCAAAGATGCACTGGAGCAGTGTCATTAACCCCCACTGAGAAGAAAAGCTTTATGAACAAGTACATTTAGTAGGTCCCTGATGCATATTTCAACCTTGAAACCCTTGGTCCTAAACTTTGCTGCATATGGAACGCGTGCGATACTGACAAGACCTCCATATCAGCGCACCACCCACTTCTCAGGACGTTTTTGAGGGGACCTCGCCGCGGCGAGAAGCTCGCGGACAATGCTACCCCTCTCCGGTCCATCCGCACCTAGTCCGCGCAGTAAGGGAAACACGCCAGCGCGGCTTTGGCAGTTAACGAGTCAACTCGGGACGCTGTCCACTTTTCAAGCAGCGGTACTCAAAAGGTTCTTGAGCCTTCTTGAACCCATAAAGAAGAGGGAGCATCGGCCCCTTGTAGCCATGGCGCGCCATAGGTGGCCCGCCTGGGCACTCCCTTGTTTTGTCTTGTGTACGCTGCTTTCCCCAAAGGTAGTAATTCACACATTTTTGATTCAGAATGCTATGACTTACAACTGTGACGGTCACACTGTTCTTGTCTCAATTTGTGCCTCCCCCGCGTGGCCAGGTGACCCTCGGCGCGGTGGATTTTTTCAGCTCGCCCTACAACTTCGGTCCTCAGCAAGGTGGCCGCCGCAGATCTGGGTTATTGACATTCGGTCATGCAGGCTCTCTTGACATTTCAAAGCCGTTTTGACAACGCGCGGCCGTGCACGCGGCAACCGTCGGGTTCGGACCCCCGGTTGGCCCTTGGATGACACTTGTCTACTCCCTCCACACAGCCACACTGCACCTCATCCCTCCCATGCAGAGAATGCTGTCCTCGTCGATTCGCTCTTCCGTATGGACACCTGCTCCATTGACTCAACATGTGTGGAGGACATGGAACACGTGCAGAAGTCGGTGGTCCAGCTCACACACGGCCTGATCAACAATTTCTGCTCAGGTGGGTTTAGTGAGCCATCTGGCCGGTCCCAGACAGATCGAGCTGCTGCTGTACGCTCCATTGCAAGATTTTATATGTCATCTGCTGCATTGAGGGAACAGCGCAGCGCCAATCATGTGCACGATGGACATCCCATGGGCTGACATGCACTATAATCGGTGTTGCCGCTCCCCACCCCCTGGTGGCCGACTATCTCCCCAGGCAACACCCGACTGCCACGTAATCGCTGCAGGCACTCTCATCAAGGGCCCAGGTGACAAGATCTACATCCTGACGGCGCGTCACTGCCTGGTGCAGACCGACCAGCGCTTCATCTACCCGTCGAGCAGCTATGACGTCATCTTCGACTACAAGCTGCCGTGCAATGCCTCCCAGGTCGACGACGTCTCTGCCACCTTTGACCGGTACCTGACGGTGAGGCCTGGCTGGATGTGGTGGTGCTTGAGTGGCAGCGGGGTGTGGGCGCAGGCCCAAGGATGACGCACACCGCTGCCAGAGCCACAAGGGAGGTACCCAGGCCGGCCCCAGCGCGCAATGGCGAGGGCCTGGGCCCGCATGGCGCGCAGCATCAGGGTCACGGGAGCTGCCACGCACCGGGGGAGAGGACCGTTTGGGGATGGATGCAGTCGCCTGCAGACTCATCTCCTGTCCCGGAGCCCTCCGTAGGGGGTGTCTGTTGTGTTTGAGGACATCACCTCTGACACGGCAGTGCTGGAGCTGCTGCAGGACATCCCTCCCGAGTGGGGCGCCTGGACGGCAGGTGCGCCTCTATTGAAATGGGATCGGGGGCCGCCTGTTGGACCCACGCATGCCCACTTGGGCTCCCCGATACTAGCTGCGAGAGCCGCCTGCTCGCAGCACCTTTGCAAGCCTGTCTGCCCCATATCCCCTCCGCAGCCATTGGTCGCGACTCCCGTATGGCCTCACGCCAGGCTCGCACAATCCCACCCTGCCGCAGGCTGGGATGCAGGCTGGGTGGAGCCTGGGTTCAGCTTCCTGGACGTGTCACAGCCCATGGGTGATTCCCAGAAGATCGCCAGCGGCAAGTGAGTCCCACCGGAGTCAGGGCATGCGGGGCAAGGGGGCCCCCGGGCCTGCTGCATGGCACGGTGTGCAACTTCCCCGGCCACCCTGCACTGCACCATGCGGTGGCGGCTCTGCAGAGACACAATCCCTCCATGTTCTGAGCCACAGCTCGGGTCGCACCCTGTCGACCCTGCCCCCGACCCCCAACCCGCCTCTGAACCTCCATCAATGCAGGGTAATAGACGCCACGTACCAGCTCGTGATGCTGCCCGACGGCCACGTGCTCAAGGGCCAGCCCCGGAACTGCACCACCGAGGTGTGCGGCTACCTATTGGGCGTGGGCACCGCCGGCGGCATGGCTTCCGGCAGCAGCGGTTCCGGGGTGATTGACGCCGAGCGGGGGGCGGTCATCGGCGTGGCATCTGCCATGGCGGGGAAGGGGCGCTGCTCGGACCCTCTGGTGACCGACGACTCCGGGGGACTCCTGCTGTACATCGGGACGCTGATGAAGGTGGGAGGAGAGAGGGAGAATGCCAAGATTTGGAGGGGACGTTGGGCCACAGTGGGAGGCGGCGATCGCCATGCCGGGCTGCCCCTGCAGTGGGGCCTGGCTGCGCTTGGGGGCAGTCGGACCCAGGAGCCTGGGCTGTGGGTTGGGACCTCGCCAGCGCTCTTCCTGTCAGCCGGCCAGCTTGGCAGGACATGCCATGACTCCCGCACCTTTGCCCCTCCCTCCGTTGCTGCCCAGGCTTGGGACATGGGCTTCCACAAGCTGTTCGGGCGCAGGGTGGACGGCAAGAGGTGGGCAGAGTACGAAAAGTATACCCGCCACACCCCCACCCTGACCATCGGCAATGTGGTGCCGGAGGTGAACCCGCGTCGGGGGCCCACACGCTTCTCCGTAGTGTGAGTGGGACCGGAGGCTGGGGAGGGGGAGCGGGGCGCGTCAGGCAGTGGGACGAGTGGCGTGCCCTGTGCGCTGCTGTGCGTTGACGCACATCCACTGCCGGCAGCCATTGCATGCCTGGGGAACAACAGGGTTGTGAGGCAAGGCGGTGCGCCACTCACTCACAGCTGCCCTGCCCACCTGCTCAGTCGAGCCCACGCTGTCGTTCTGGGCAATGGCATGCCGGAGTGCAAAGTGCGCGCGTGCACGCTCGCATGCCTAAATAGATTTGTGTTCTCGGCTTGGGTGCCCGCGCATGTCACCGCCCGATGCCTCCAATGCTCCTCCCAGGCTCCAGCAGAGGCCTGTGCGCAACACAACCATTACCCTGACCCCCGGCCAGCCAGGCTTGGTGAGGCTGAGCCACAGCAAGCTCACGTTCACCCGCGCAGACTGGAGCCAGCCCCAGTATGTCGAGATCACAGCAGGTGGGATCCAGGACGGCCGGAGGTGTCAATCAGTGCCTGAGACTTTGTCTCTGAACCCAAGGCGTCCCTTGCGGGCTGCCAAAGGATGGAGTTGTGAGACCTGGGCGCATGTCTCAATGCTGCACACCTGTCCTCGTGAGTGACCAATCCCTCAACACCTCTCACATCCCCGTGCAGTGCCGAACCGCTTCGCGATCAATGAGACCCGCGCTTTCGACATCGACCTGAGATGGCCGGTCGTGGATGCGACCGGCAAGTGGAGCGAGCGCACCAAGGCCATTTCGTGAGTGCTGGGCTGGCTGGGGGACCCTCGGGTGGAGCTGTGCCGGGCAGAGTGCGCATGCTGAAGCTGGCTGCAGCTGGACAGGACCTTCGTGATTCCCTCCATACCCTTCCCTTTCCCCATCCTGGCTGCAGGGGTGCCGTGTGGGCTGAGCGCAAGGGCAACAGCTTCTTCAACCCCCAGGAGATCCAACTGCCCTTCAGGCATGTGATCAGTCTCGAGGTGAGACCTAGGATGGGGAATGAGGGTTTAAACAAGGACCCTCCTCCATGGCACGTCATCAGCCGCACAGGTCAGGCCCCTGTCTGTGCTGAACCCTACACGCTCCCGAGCCCAATCCATCCCCTGTCCTTCCTCCTTGCTTGCTGCCAGAGGTACAGTCCCAACGTGACCCTGATCGCCGAGCGTGAGGGCCCCTTCAGGCCCGTGGAGTACTTCAAGTACACTGCCACCGGCCCACAGGTGGGTGCAGGGTCCCCATCGGGCCCCTCCCCTCGCCCATGGTTGCCGCCCTTCCTTACAGGGCCGAAGCATGCCGACTCACACTCGCTGTGAACTGCACTTCTCACCCGCCCCCTCGCCCGGCCGCTCCCGCCCCGCAGGGTCTGGTCATCGACACCTGTCCCCACGGCAGCGCCAGCGACAACACAACCGTCGTCTCTGCCGTGTTCAACCAGGACTGGTCGCTCTACAGTGACATTCCGTGAGTGGGACGGCTGGCTGGGACCTCATCTGGCGTCAGAATCTCCGCTGGATGAGTCTCACACCTGTGGCTCTCCATGCACCGGCCCAAACGCCTGTATGCTGCAATGGTCCACCATGGCCCCACCCCATCCCTTGCAGGCAGGCTACCAACACCACAGGAATCCCGAGGCAGGGGTGCTCCCGCACTCTCGCTGCACTTGATCGGGCACAGGGTGAGGAGGGAAGGAGGGTCTTACGGCAGGGCCGGCGCGGATACCGATGGTCGGGACAGGGACTGCACCCACACCCGAGGCCTGGGGCATGCTGGTTTGGAAGGGGCTTGAGTGGGGGCGGTCACCTGTCAGAGTGACAATTCTGGGCTGGGCTGCAGAGTGCTGCATACCCTGTCCCACACTCAATGCTGCAGACTTCTACATCGTGGTCAGCCCGATGACAGACTTCAACATTCCTGGCGAGAGTCTGAATTTCACTGGGAAGGCGTCTGTCACCATATCGAATTCGTCCCTCGGCGAGGTAGGCTGGGGACGTTCGGGAGCCACAAAGGGCCAGGACCAGTCAACCACCCACCCCATGCAGTCCAGCTGCTCTGCGCGGCAGGCCTCAACCAGGGATGCCCACCAGGATCCGGGCTTGCTGTGCCAGGACCAATGCCTCTTCACACCCCGATAACACCATCATACTTCCAACCCCGGCCCCAGATGCTGGAGCTGTTCCTGGCAAAGGACGTCATCCACGAGGTAACGCCTATGCCTGGCCAGACTATAGCCAAGGTGGGTAGGGTCCCTGGGAGCCAGAGGGTCTGAGGGTGGAATCCTGCTGTGCAGGGTGCAGTCCAGCTGGCTAGCCAGGCACATGCGCCGGCTCGCCCCTGTTGGCAGTCGACAGCCTTGGGTTGCAGCATTGGTGGGACAGGAGCCCCTGACTCCTGCCTCATCAACCTGCGGGCGTCTATCCTTGGCGTAGGGGAGGTCGAGCCCCAGCACCTTTTACTACCGGCCCGAGACCAGCATGACCGTCGACGTGAGCACATGCAACTCCAACACAACGATCGGCGCTCGCCTGGCCATCCTGAACGATCGCATGGAGGTCATCAGGTGGGGTGGTGGCGCGGTGGGATGCCAACTGCTGATGGCGCTGCTCACAGGGTGGGGTGTTCATCGTAGGGCATGGCGTCGTCAGGACTGCACCGCTCAGCACCTGATCCCCTCATCACACCCCCACACCAGCACGGGCGGGTCCCCCAAAGTCCACGCCTGCATCCCCTCCATGACTGCCAAGCTGGAAGGGGGCCAGACGTACTTCTTCATGGTTACGACGGCCGTGAACCAGGTGAGCAACACCCTTGGCATGACCATCTCCCTGCATGATGCCGACTCACATCACCAGTGTGGACTCTGGGAGGTCGGAGCTAGTCTATTCCCTCCCAATGCACTCCCCACAAATGTGTGCTTTCCCGCAGCTCGCCACGACCAGGGTGCTACGCCAGGTTGCCTTCACCATCACAAAGGTTTGAAGGCGGGTATGCAGGCCCTGCCATTATGCTCACCCCATCCACATAATTGTCAACGGACATTACCCCTAACTGCTTTCAAATATTCACATAAACTTTTGTTCAAGGAGATTTACATATTGTAAATAGGCATCAGACCTGCGAAGTGCATATGTTGCTTTCATTCTGAATCCCTGTCCGATGAAGGACCGTACAGAAGTGGATGGGGAGAGCTAGCTTCATTCGAGGAGGCCGGACACATACGTCCACTGCCTCCTCTCGGCAAACCCTCGAACATAATGGTTGAGTCCCACGTCGTGACATCTTCGTACGAGAGGTCAAGTGGGCCACGCTACGAACGACTGGAGGCATGCGAGCCGGAGGTTGTACGGTGTTTTCTCAGTATCTCATTGCCCAAGCGAAGTTTAGAAGAGTTATAAGGTGCCAATGGGGCTTAGGATCAAGCAGGAGTTGCACACGCACAAAGGGTTTCGGTGTCCAAATGATTCCCGCGAGGAATTTTTGCCAACAGGAGTATATTTCCCAGGCTATCACAGTACAGCTTTTTGACACGGCCATTCCATTCCTACTGTATTATATTGAACACATCATACACTCCAACAGGTCCAGCAATGTGCGCGAAGTGTCGTTGCAGGGCCCAGCCGGGTCGTGTGCGGATACATCCAGTACGTTTACGGGACTGTTCAATCGTGTGCCATGCTGCATTGGACGCCAAGTTGTCACTCACACTACTTTGCGCATTAACGACTGATAAGCTAAAGCTATCTATGAGAGTGATCGGTCTAAGGTGGCGACGCTCACCGTCCCCAACGTGACACCATCCAACTGCCCCGCTACGCTGACACGGCCCTGTAGGCTCATGTGTGGGTTGGTGGCAAGGAGACGCTCATCGAGGGCGTCTGCAGAGAACAGATTCGGTTCATGGCCTCCCTGTGTACGAGTATGGCAACCGAGTCGAGATTAGATACGCGGAAAGCCATGTAATGCTCGCACATGTAACACCAGGTCGATTGATTTCCGGGCATGCATATTTTGTACCTGGAGGCGGATGCCACGGAGAGCGAGAGGGCAATCAGGAAAGGGGCAAGGGTGGCGTCATGACGCATGGGAGAGTGCGACATTGCAGCTGCTGGCCAAACCTAGCCTGGGTGGCGAGCATCGCTATCATTGGTGTCGTGACTGCGAGTTCCTAACCTCGTTGATTTTGCATCGGAAGGCGCGCGTTTGGACACTGTATGACGCTCAAGCACCCGGGCGCAGCATTATCCTTGCAGTCCCGAATGGTGGCTTCGATCCATCGCCCCGGGCACCAGGCGACTTGTGAAAACCTTGGGTCGGCGTCGGGACTCGACGCCCGTGCGGAGACGCTGCTGGAGGGCTCCAGCTCTCTGACTGACTCTTCCGTGATGGGTTTCGGTCATGGACAGGTAGGTTGAGATGCATGGCTTTCCTCGCTGGGAATCTTAGATCTTTAACGTCGAGCTGCCCAGTATCATGGGTTGTCATACAGCTCACCTATGCCCTCTCTAAAATACAGGCTGTGAGTGACGGAAACACTTCGGCAACGGCTTCGGGAAGCTTTTCACGCACCAGTCTTGGCCCTGGAATGTCGGCAGAAACGAGTGCCAGTGCCTCTGCCTCAGGCTTCCTACTGGGGGCAGCTGTTGCTGATGCTGACGGCTCGGCAGCACTTGGAAGCCAGAAGACGACGGTGAGCTAGTAAGGGAGTTTAATGCTAATCTGCGTGCAAATGCCACAAGGCATACTGGCTTTGGGCAACTAGCACCCTCAGATTCAATGGAAGCAGAAAGAAACCCCCCTTTGCCTGCTCCCAATGCAGGCACGGGCAAGGTGCGTCTCTTGCGTCCCTTGGGCTTCAAACAATGTCATGAAGTCAGAGGCAGGCCTGGAAGCCGCCGCAGCCTGTGACACTGAGGAGGTCTCAGAACCTGTCCTGCCCAGTCCCAGGGCCTCCCCCAGTCCCAGCGCACCCCCAGCCCCAGTCCCAGCCCCAGCCCCAGTCCGTCGCCGCCTCTACCTCCGCCTGGCCCCACGGGTTTCCTTCATTACCAAACAAACGGAGTCGACTGCACCTTGGACGCGTATGTGGATTCATCATATGAGGTAGTGCAAGCCAACTGCATCTTCTACAACCAGAACAACGTTGCAATCGTTGAAGCATTGAACACATTTGCGCCGGCTACATCCACCCAAGTGTCATCATCCGTTCTCAGTCACTCATCATGCTCCACGGTCGATTATGCCATTTGCACCGTCACTGATGGCTCGGCGATTGTCTCTGCGCCAGGCAAACTAGATCACGACTAGCTCATGCTCACCGACGACACGACAAAACACCCAAGAGGGCGCTGACTCATAAGGCATATACTCACATTGTTGCATTATCCATCACTTGCTTCTTGCATTATGTGGTACTGATGTAATACTCCATCCATCACCTATTCTCTTGGCTGGCTGCCCAGGAGCTAACGCTCTGCGTCACATGGAGGTCCTAAGAATCGGTCACATGTGCGCTCAAAGTCGTACTGGGGAGTCAGACAACACGTCAAGTCAACTTTTTACAGAAAGGGAAGCCCCTGCCCCGGATCAGCATCCTAATGAGAGCGCCCCCACTGCATGACTGCATTCCACCCATCCAGGGAATCCGAGTTGGGGCGATAAGAAAACACCAGGTTTCACACATTTTACAAGCCCGAGAACAGATTGGCAGGTTTCTGCTCCTAATTGGGTAGGCAGTTACTTGAAGGCCAGGAGGGCGAAAGGCACCCCTCACTTCAGTGGTCCTCGAGTCATTTTTAACAGCACATCCCACAGCACCCTGGTGAACGCTCTGCATAGATTTTGGCCTGCATGTATCACCTCTCGTTGGCTCGAATGCGCAAAGAGCACCAGCTCAATCATCAAATTATGTAGATTCACCCATCATCTCGATTGAAGACCGAAGAGTGTCACTCGCAGCTGTTTAAGAAATTCGTAGGGCCCGGTCCTGGATCCATATGACGGAGTCCAGGCCTTTCGTGTGAGCGCGTCGCTCCAAGGCTTGAGTGTGACATGCAGCTACTGGCAATGATTCTATTCTCAATGATGCATTAGGTATCCCCAGGATCATGCAGACGGTGTATTGTCACACCGAGCACCGGCAGTTTACGGTGCCGGAGGGGTGGGACGGCGTCTGCCCATCGTGCGGTGGAGGGTTCGTGGAACTGCAGGGCGCTGCGCCCCTCCCAGTGAGTTCGGTTCTCGTGGACCCCGGGCTTCACATGCCCACCCCCGTAGAGCTCCCTGCCCGGCCGTCCGCCGACTGGATCGCTCTCCTCTCCCCCGCCCAGGTGCCGACCAGGCCTCGTCCCGGCCCCCGCCCTGCCTCATTCCAGCTACCCGGAGGCCATGGAGTCGTGCACTTCATCAGCAGCCCCATGGACGCCCCACCCGGCTTCCCCGTGTTCGAGGTGCATGGCCAGGGGGGGTCCCTGCGCGACATGCTGATGGAGGCCCTGGTGCAGTCCGGCATCATGACGCTGGAGGGCGGGGCGGGGGTCTTCCCCGGCTCCGAGTCCATGGATGACATCATGACGCGCATCATGGACGACTACCAGCCCGTCTCCCACCCGACCGCGCGGCGCGCGCGCGAGGCCTTCCCCCGCCTGCGGGTGCGGCCCGCAGGGCAGAAGGACCCGGGGGAGGGCGAGGCCGCGGCCGCGGCGGGGGAGCCCTGCTCCATCTGCCACGAGACTTACAGCCCCGGGGACGAGGTGGTGGAGCTGCCCTGCGACCACTGCTTCCACCCCGACTGCGTCATGCCCTGGCTGGAGACCCACAACACCTGCCCCGTCTGCCGCCTGGAGCTTCCGGCGGAGGAGGGGGGCCCGGCGGCGGGGGAGGCGGCGCCGCAGCCCTCGGCAGGGCGGGGCGCACGAGCGAGCGGCGGCGTGGCGCAGGGGCCGGTGGCGTTCCACTTCCCCGCAAGCCAGGCGGGGACGCTGGCGGCGCGCGTGACGCAGGCCCTGGGGGAGCTGGTGAGACAGCGGGAGGCCCAGGCGCTGCACCGCCCCGCGAGGGGCGTGGTCGACGGCGCGGGGCCCTCGGCCGCCGTGCCGGCGCAACCCGGCGGCAGGAGCGATGCAGGGTCCGGGGGTGGGGCGCCGAGGGTCGACGATGGTGGCCCAGCTCGTCCGGGGACGAGGGTTCAGGACCCCGGCGCACTGCAAGGCGCTGCGCGCACAGCGCTGGGGGGCCGGGGCCCTCGCCTGCACCGTTGCGGGGCCCACCCAGCGTGCCTGCAGACCGGTTGGAGCCTGGGGCGGCCGGCGCCGCGGCCGGACAGGCACGCGGCCGCTCTACTACTGCCGCCGCAGGGCCCAGCTCCACCCCCGCCGAGCAGCCGTTGTCGGCGATGGCGATGGTGGCGGGTGCCTTGGTGGCAGCCCTGGCGGGGACCGCGCTGGGCGCCCTGCTGGGATCGTCTCGCCGCTCCCAGCGCTGACTGGGTTTGGTGGCGATTGAGCATGACGTGCGTGCCGCCAGAGGGCTCGACCTTGTGGGCCCTGAGGCACCTGCCCGCCTGTAAACCGGATCAGGTTTCAACCCTTCAGAGCGCATCCTTCGACACACGTGACGTCTTCACTTCCCCGGTGATTGCAACCCGGTCGAGCCTCGAGTCTCGGTGAGGCTCAAACAGTGCGTGAAAATTCATTTCTATCCCAGCACAATGCATGCCGCATTGGACATGGGGTGCCAGGCATTCACGGGGATGGGCAGGGTCGGTGGGAGGGCGCCCCTCCAGGGTCGGGGCGCCGGACCCCGCGCCCGCAACCCCCTGGTCGTCCAGGCCGCGGGCAACACCTTTGGTCACAGCTTCCGCGTGACCACTTTCGGCGAGAGTCATGGCGGGGGCGTGGGCTGCGTGGTAGACGGTGTGCCGCCCCCGCCTCTCTATCACCAAGGCAAGGCGGGAGTAGGGGACCTTGAGGCGCCCTGTCAAAGGGTCACGAGCGCCTGAGCCTACATCCTGGGGCCCTGGGTGCCTGAGTGTTGCCCAGGAGGTATCCCTGCCCCGCCCCTGTGGCTGCAGGCATGGTGACCGCTGGGCAGCATTGCCGATGCTCCCCCATCTCCATTGCCCCTTTCCTCCCGCAGGAGGCCATTCAGTACGAGCTGGACCGGCGGCGCCCAGGCCAGAGCCGGATCACCACCCCCCGCAAGGAGAGCGACACCGCGGAGATCCTGTCGGGCCTGGCCGCCGACCGGCAGACCACGCTGGGCACGCCCATCTGCGTGCTGGTGCGCAACGCGGACCAGCGCTCCGGGGACTATGCGGAGATGGAGGCGGCCTACCGCCCTAGCCACGCCGACGCCACCTACGACTTCAAGTACGGCATCCGCGCCGTGGCAGGGGGCGGCCGGTCCTCTGCGCGCGAGACCATCGGGCGTGTGGCAGCTGGGGCCATCGCCAAGAAGCTGCTGCACGAGGTTGCCGGCACGGAGGTGGGGCCGGGGGGCGGGGTAACCGGGTCGGTGGTGTTTCGGAGGGGGGTTGGGAAGAAGGTGGGGAGGTGGGAGGGACCTTGGAGGCGGCGCGAGAGAGGCTTCGGGATGTGAGGACTGCGGTTTTTGCAGGCGGCAGTGACCGGGCAATCATGGAATGATGCGGTGGCACTGCCCCCGCCCCCATCCCTGGACCCTTGGGAGTGCCTGTCGTGCTCGAGGGCCTCGCCGTGTCCGGCCCGGGTCGCGAGCGCCAGTCGAGAGGGGATAGCCGACGAGGTCCTTTCCTCGAGCATCCTTGCAATCCCCCCCCCTCCAACATCTCGTGCACAGATCCTGGCGTACGTCAGCCGCGTCAGGGATGTGGAGGCGGTGGTGGACCAGGAGACCATGACGCACGAGCAGATAGAGAGCACGCCCGTGCGCTGCCCCGACCCCGATAGCGCGGGGCGCATGTATGCCGGTGCGTGGACGGCCTGGGGTGGAGGATGATGCGGGGCTGGCGGCGACCTGGCGGGGCGGGCGGAAGGGTCTGTGCGCTGACGGCGCCCCTCTCCCCCCCCCACCCCCCTCCCCGCCTCCCCGCAGCCATCGATGAGGTGCGGACGCGCGGCGAGTCGTGCGGCGGGGAGGTCACATGCGTGGTCCGGCGCTGCCCCAAGGGCCTTGGCCAGCCGGTGTTCGGCAAGCTGGAGGCTGAGCTGGCGGCGGCGCTCATGTCGCTCCCCGCCTCCAAGGTGCGCGCGAGGGGCGGCTGGGAGGAGTGGGAGAAGAAGGGGGGGGGGGGGTGATGCAGGCATCCTAGAAGTTGTGGGGCAGGGGGCCGATGGGACCAGTGGCCATGGGCCCTTCAGCGCCCTTGCCGCGCGGGGTAGGGGTCCACTGCGCCCTCCTGCCATCAAACCTGTGTTCATCGGCGCCCAGGCGCGTCGCCCCGCGTCGCCTGCTCCCAGCCTCGGACTCCCTGCCATCATGCACCTCCGGTTGCTCCGCAGCCTCACCCTCCCGCCTGGCCCCTACCCCAACCCCCACCCCCTCAACCCCCGCTCAACCCAGGGCTTTGAGATCGGGAGCGGCTTCTCCGGCTCGCGCATGCTGGGCTCCGAGCACAACGACGCCTTCTACATGGCCCCCGACGGCTCCGTTCGCACGCGCACCAACCGCTCCGGCGGCGTGCAGGGCGGCATCAGCAACGGCGAGGACGTGGTCCTGCGCCTGGCCTTCAAGCCCACGGCCACCATCACCGCGCGCCAGGACACCGTGAACCGCAGCGGGGAGGACATCCAGCTGGCGGCGCGGGGCCGGCACGACCCCTGCGTCGTCCCCCGCGCCGTGCCCATGGTGGAGGCCATGGTGGCCCTGGTCCTGGCCGACGCCCTGCTGCAGCACTACGGCCAGTGCGAGCTGCTGCCACGGAGCTCGGCGGCGGGGGCGGACGTACCCTCCCACACCCAATTCTCGCATGCCGGCTAGGGTGGGTGGGGGGGAGCCGTGCTGGCGGGAGGTGGGGGTCCCGGGGCGGGCGGGGAGCGAAGCGAGTGCAGAGCGTCGTGGCGGCTGGTCTCCCCTGAGGGTTGTGCGCTGGCGCTGAGAGGCACGGCACCCTGTCATCCCTTGACGAGCCCGTGTGGCCGCCCCTGGACACAGCCTGGCTTTGTGATCCGAGCATCGTCCTGCCTAGGCCCCCTGGCAATTGCTCTGCTGCCGTGATGTAAAAGTTCAGAGAACTACCCGGGTGTGTACAATCTGGACAGTCCCGCACAGCCGAGTGTCTCCCCCCAGCGGCATCTCAGGCGTGCAGGCTCGCGCCCCGCACAAACGTCCCGCCGCCCACCAGCGCCAGCCTGCGCATGTGGAAGAAGGCGTGGCGTGGGCCCGCGGCCTTGCGTTTGGCGCCTGCCCGCCAGCCCAGCGTCTGCTGGCCCTCGGCGCCGTCGTCCGCCTCGCACTCCCAGGCCACGGGCACCGCCGCCGCGGCCTCCAGCAGGGGCGTACAGGGTCGGCCCAGCTGAAGCGGACAAGGCTGGGGAAGCCGAAGACGCGGTGGAGATTGCTCTCTAGCCAGGACTTGGTGACGGCATCGCCTTTGGGGGGGGGGGGGGGGGGGGGGGGGGGTGAATGGGCAGGGATTGTTCCTCTGTAGTTCGCGATGGTGCCTCGCAGGGCAGAGGTTTGCACCTGCCCGCTCAGCCACATGTGCTGTAATACGTCCCCAACACTGAGGGCAGCAGGCTGTGTCGCGGCAGCTGTGGCCACCCTCAATCACCCCACCTCACCGGGGTACCCACAGCCGTACTCCCGGTCCCTGCTGGAGGGGCCCTCCGGGCAGGTGTATGCGCTGAGCTGGCGGTCCCTGGTCACCTTGGCCACGATGCTCGCGGCGGACACGATGGGGTAGAGCGAGTCCGCCTTGGGGCACACAGTGAAGTGTATGGCGGGGAACTGGGCCAGCAGCCGGGACTGTGTGTTGCAAGGGCGGTGAGGGAGAGTGTGTGGGTTGGGGGACAGGCAGAAGCAGGGCAGGAGGGGCCAGGGGGCTGGCACCGACCAAAACCCCGCTCCCAGGCACAGTCGCAGCCACCCCTCCCACTGAGCGTCACTCACCCTGTGCTTGTCTGCATCTCCCACGGTGTCGATGTAGGCGTGCGTCAGGTTGACACCGGCCGCCACCACGCCGGCTATGAGGCGGGCGGTGCTGTCGTTGGCCAGCTCGTTCAGGCTGTGCCGGTCCCGCGCCAGCATGCGCCCGGAGATGAACGCCGCGCTGAGGGACTCGGCGCGGAACCCGATCCCCGGGTCCGCCTGGAGCTGGGCCAGGAGTGCCTCCCGCCGAGCCTCGGTCAGGGTCTTGCTGTCGGCAAAGGCCCTGCAGTGGGGGGGGGTGGATTTTTGAGGGTGCCGCCGCTGGACGTTCTGGGTGGTCAACTCCGCACAGCGCTGATACGGGCGGCACCCGCATTCCCAGGTGCGAAGGAATGTCCACAGTCAAGCTGGCCTCCATCGAGCGGGGGGGGGAGAGGAGGGGGGGAGAGTGAATGGGCAGGTATTGTTCCTCTGTAGTTCGCGATGGTGCCTCGCAGGGCAGAGGTTTGCACCTGCCCGCTCAGCCACATGTGCTGTAATACGTCCCCAACACTGAGGGCAGCAGGCTGTGTCGCGGCAGCTGTGGCCACCCTCAATCACCCCACCTCACCGGGGTACCCACAGCCGTACTCCCGGTCCCTGCTGGAGGGGCCCTCCGGGCAGGTGTATGCGCTGAGCTGGCGGTCCCTGGTCACCTTGGCCACGATGCTCGCGGCGGACACGATGGGGTAGAGCGAGTCCGCCTTGGGGCACACAGTGAAGTGTATGGCGGGGAACTGGGCCAGCAGCCGGGACTGTGTGTTGCAAGGGCGGTGAGGGAGAGTGTGTGGGTTGGGGGACAGGCAGAAGCAGGGCAGGAGGGGCCAGGGGGCTGGCACCGACCAAAACCCCGCTCCCAGGCACAGTCGCAGCCACCCCTCCCACTGAGCGTCACTCACCCTGTGCTTGTCTGCATCTCCCACGGTGTCGATGTAGGCGTGCGTCAGGTTGACACCGGCCGCCACCACGCCGGCTATGAGGCGGGCGGTGCTGTCGTTGGCCAGCTCGTTCAGGCTGTGCCGGTCCCGCGCCAGCATGCGCCCGGAGATGAACGCCGCGCTGAGGGACTCGGCGCGGAACCCGATCCCCGGGTCCGCCTGGAGCTGGGCCAGGAGTGCCTCCCGCCGAGCCTCGGTCAGGGTCTTGCTGTCGGCAAAGGCCCTGCAGTGGGGGGGGGTGGATTTTTGAGGGTGCCGCCGCTGGACGTTCTGGGTGGTCAACTCCGCACAGCGCTGATACGGGCGGCACCCGCATTCCCAGGTGCGAAGGAATGTCCACAGTCAAGCTGGCCTCCATCGAGCAGCTCCTGCGCGCAGGCGTTGCGCTTCCCTGCGCGGCCCTACTTTGAGGTGAGGTCCGTGGAGCAGGGACAGAAGGCGGCAGCGTACACCATTGGGCCGAGCACCGGGCCCCTACCGGCCTCGTCTACAGGGACGCAGGGGGTGGAGGGGATCCGACCATGGGGATAGGCAGGACTTGGAATGCTGGTACAGACGGCTGACAGGAAGACATCCATAGCAGCTGGGTAAAGTATACCCACCCAGTCGCTTACCTATCCCTAGCATGCATGGCTCCGAGTACCAGGCTTGTGGTGGGTGGTCGGAGCATGACACCGTCACAGACTCCTCGTCCTGAATCATGACCATGCGAGGGGCGCTAGGAGCCAAGGATGCGTCTGAGCAGGTCTCAAATATTATGTCCTTGAAAACTTAGCCATGTGGACTTCCCTGATGGCACGACTGCTCGGGACGAGCCTGCGAGACTCCGTGACCTGGCGCCCGGGAGTTTGAAGCCCGGGGTGGCGGGACTCGAGCAGGCTGGTGTGTGCATGCGCGCGCGCGACATTGTGAAGGTCGCACTGTGGGCACTCCCTACAGGAGTATGCGGCGAGAACCACCCACGGAACACCTCAGAAAGTAAAGTTGAAGCACCGATATATATAACATTGTGAGGTCTCGACTTCTCGCCATGGCGGCCACAGTGCCTGCCCACCGAGAGGAGGTCGGGAAGCTCGACAAGGATGATAAGGCGCGTGAGGGGGTGGAATCGCACTGTATATGACAGTGATTGTAGCATATAGGTCAATTTTGTCATTTCTACATGCGCATTTGGCTCTGTTTTGCTCACAGCATACCGTTGGGGACCTGCCCTGACATTCCACTGCCCACCACCGTCCGTGCAGATTCTTGCGCACTTCTGGAACCTGGCGTCTTTGGAGGCGGTAAGAAGGGAGCTTCGTGGATCCAGCAAGGACTAGAACGTGCTCCCGTTCCCTTGCAAAATCCCGTGCATGTTCCCCTGCCATTCTTCAATACAGGAGGTGCAATTCCGGGCTAGCTCAGACCTGGTGGACGCCGTGCTCAAAACACAAAGCAGCGCCCCCAAGGCTGGAAAGCGTGAAGATGGCGAAGCAGTGGTGGCTGCCTACTCCCCCACCACGGTGTGATGATGCGGATGGATGGAGGAGGATGAATGCAATATTGTACGTCGGAGGCTGGACCCTGTCTCCTCGCCGCACCCCTGCATCTCGCGGTGCTCAACGACAGCCTGTCTCCTACCTTCCATGCAGGGCTACACGCTGAAGCGGTTGGTAAAGGGTCTGGCCTCGGGCAATGCGGGCGCCCGCCAGGGCTTTGCCCTTGCCCTGACCCTCCTGCTGAAGAGGCTGCCGGGCATGACTGCAGACGACGCTGTGCTCCTCCTGGCCTCCTATCTGGAGGCGCCCTCTGCCTCCAAGGTGAGCGGAGTGGATGATGGCCGACAAACATGCCATGCAGTGGGATTTGAAATTGGTCAGGTTGGAGGTTTTACAAGCGGTCATGCTTCTCTCCACCTACTTCGCCAGGGCGCCGAGACGCGGGACTACCTGCTGGGGCGCACCTTTGGCATTGGAGCCATTGTTCAGGCTCGCGTTCCCGCCAGCACAGCGTGCAAAGCGGAGATGATCGACCAGCTGCTGGATGCGGGGGTGCTCAAGTCCTTCCTCCGCGAGGCCGCAGGTGCGAGGCCAGCTATGCGAGCGCTTCCAATCAAAAGGCTGTTTATGTGGGGAAGCAGAAGACCACATGCCAGAATGGGACACTGGACTTCCTGTGTGCTGCTGTCCACCCATTCCCCCTGTGCCTGTGCAGCCACCGTCATCCTCGACCTCGTTGCGTCGGAGACGGAGGAGAGCGTGTCGGCACTGCTCTCGGCCTGCGCCCCGCTGTCTGCCGCCCTGAGTGCGTCCATCGACCAATCCACCCCAGAGGTGATGGCTTGTGGTGAATAGCCTGGGGTTGCATATACCTGGGGAGCATGGCACTCGTCCAAACTTTGTCTGTCCTCTGGCGGCCGAGAAATGAATCGAGTACAGCCCAGCCCCGTGATCCCTTCCTCTCTTGCCCACCCCCGATGTTCCACCACCCCTCCTCACAGATGCTGGTGATTGCCCTGGGTCTGTGGCCGATCCTGCCCGCCGCCGTCGTCGAAGCCAGCCCCCTGCTGCCCTCCGGCGCCCCGCGCCCCGCCCCCGGTTACCAGACGGGCGCCGCCACAGCCGCCGCGAGCGCCGCTTTCTTCGCCGCGCCGCACCTCACCACGCTGGTTCCCCTGCTCACCTTCACCACGGCCAACCACCCCGCGCTGCACAGCCTGTGGACGACCCTGTTGGCCTTCCTGTGCCCGGGGGAGGGGTCTGTGATCGCCGACGCTGCGCTGGAGGCCCTCTGGATGCGGGTCGTGGAGCCGGAGCTGGTGGGGTCGGGCTCCCATGCTCGCAAGTACCTCTCCATCACCCTCTTCCTGCGCCTCCTGCCCCACCTCACGTGAGCTGCGACGGGGGGCCCGTGTTGGGCTGGCAGCCGGGCGGCATCCTGGATCCAAGCCCGGAAGAGTTGGCTGCACCACTCATCCGTCCCAGTACATAGTCCATGCTGTATCCTGGTACACTTCTTCCAAAGTGCATGCTCAAAAAGCCTTCCTCCCCACTGTCCTCCTTCCCAGTGCACTACACACCACTCAGTGCCCCCCCACAAACTTACCAAAAACATGCACAGGGCGGACAACGTGGCCACCGTGCTGTCACCACCCTTCCTGCGCTTCCTTTCCACCAACGTCTCGCAGCGCAAGGCCTACCTGCACGCCTCCGCGCACAGGTGCGAGCTCGCGCTCGTCGCCGCGCTCTCCGGCGACGACGCGGATCTCGCGCTGGCCGTCTCCCTGGCGCTCCAGCGGGCGGGCGGGTCGCTCTGGGACAGGGTGAGGGCCGGCGCCAAGAGCGCCGGCGCCGCCGCGCCGGGCGGCAAGGCCAATGCCATCACCGGGGTGCAGGTGGGGCGAGTGGGGGGGGGAAGGTTTGGTGTTCGGGGCTTGAGTGCAGGTTGAGGACTGTGAATGTGCATGGGTCCCTCAGCATGGAGATGGTGATTTTTGGAGGGGACTCGACAGCAGGGAGGATGTATGATGCAGGGGCAGGTCTGCCTTCTACCCCCTCGATTGCACTGCCTGGGCCCTCAGCGGAGCTGGACAGGGCCGATCTCCCAAACCGCACCCTTTCCTCCGCTTACCGCGGCCACGCTCAACCCCCAACAGAGTCTGGACGCCGCCCAGCTCGCTGAGCTGGTGGAGCGGCAGGTGGCTGTCATCTCCAGCGCATGCGGCGCCCTGACCCTCGATGACGAGGAGGCCGGGGAGGAGGGAGCTCCTCCCCTCGAGGCCCCAGCCGCCGCCACGGCGGCCCTGGAGTCGCTGTGGGCGGCGGTGAAGCAGGAGAGCGCGACGGAGGAGTCGCGGCAGGCAGTCTTCAGGCTGTTGGCTGCCCTGGCTTTCCTGGAGCCTGGCCAGGAGGCCCCGACGCCCCAGCCCACACGTGGCAGCAGGGTGAGGGAGGTGTTGGAGGTCGTGCCGAGTCTCGACCCCCGTCCGGAAGGCGAGGCGCAGGGAGGAGGCATGACACACCTCTCAGGCGCCGCTGACGGGGATGGAAACATCTGCTGCGCAAGTCCGCCCACCTCACCGAGTCTCACACTCCCCACCCTATCCCAGGCCAAGGCCGCTGCGAAGCCCGGCATGGAGGACCCCACCATGCAGACCCTGAGGGCGGCCGGCGCCAGTGGTGCAGCCCTGCGGCCCCTGGCCGCCGCCCGCCTGATTGCGCTGGCCGACTTCCTGGCCAAGCGCCCCGTCGCGCCGGGGTCCGCGGCGCCCAGCCCCCCTCTCGCTGACCTGGTGGCCTGGGTGGAGGGGGCGCTGAGCTCCGGCCACGCGCGCCTGGCGCGCGTGGGTGCGGGCGCGCTTTCCTCCATGCAGCCCCTGCGCGAGGCGCTGTCCAGGGCCACGGCGTCGGCCGACGCGGGCGGGCGGGGTCGCGTGGCGGCGCTGACGCACCTGGCGTTGCTCCTGCAGTTGTACGAGTGGGCGGACCCCAGCGTGGTCGACCCCGGGGTTGGGCCGGACCTGGCCGACGTGGTGGACAGGGCGCTGTGCCAGGCCGGCGCCGAGGTTGACGGGCCCCGAGCCGGGGTCAACGGCGACGCAGCCCCCGCCTGGCACGACACGCTGGTGGACGTGGTGCTGAGCCTGCTGGCCCGGCCGTGCTCGCCGATGCCCTCCGCGCCGCTGCGCAACGCCGCCGAGTCCGTCTTCCGCGTCTTTGCCACAGACCTGACGACCACAGGTGGGTTGGGGGATGGTGCAGGGAGGGAAGGGGTGTGTCTGTGTGAGCCACTGGTGTGGAGACCATGGACGTTGCTGGTGCCTGGCCGAGGCAAGTGCAGAGTCCCTGCCGTGATCGGCCACCTCCTGTGCATGGAGGCTGCTCAAGCTCGTACCCCCCTTCTTCCCAGGCCTGCAAGACCTGTTGCGTGTGCTGGCCAGCTCGGCGGGCGGCCCGGAGGAGGTGCTGGGTGAGGGAGAGGGGAGCGAACAGGAGGACGACGAGGGCAGCGAGGAGGAGGAGGAGGAGGAGGAGGGGAGTGAGGCCGAAGAGGGGAGCGAGGAGAGTGAGGTCGAGGCCGCCTCCAGCTCTGATGAAGAAGTTGATGCCGAAGCCGGTGAGCATTGGAGACGGTGTGTTGGATTGTCGGTTCCTCATTCCCACTGGCGCAGCGGTTCCACGCACCTCTCATGGCTTGCGCGCAAGGCATCACCGCCCAGTTGGCAACCCCTTCCTCTCACCAACAACTTCCTCCATCACAAGCAGGCGCTGCCTCTCCCAGCGGACAGGGCAACGACAGTGACGATGGGCTGGGCGCGACTGACGCCGAGATGTTCCGCATGGACGCCAAGCTGGCAGCCTACTTTGCCACGATAAAGAACGGCAAGGGGGGGAATGCCAAGGCAGCTGCAGAGCAGCTGGACCAGTTCAAGCTTCGGGTCGTCACGCTATTGGAGTACTTCCTGAAGAGGGTGCGGTGACAGGCATCCTCCCTTTGTTGTCCAGGATGGGTTTGGTGTCTAGGTTGACGGGGAAGCTGGAACAGGCCGTTCACTGGTCAGGCAGGCTCCCAGGGACGTGGCTCCTGTGTCGCCACATCCTGACCTCGGTTCTCCTCCTGGCACCCCTGCGCAGTCACCTGCGTCGCCGCTGGTGCCCACTGCCGCGGTGCCCATGCTGAACGCCCTGGCTGTGGCGGCCAAGCCCAGTGGGTCCCAAGTCCTGTCACAGAGACTGGCCGGCCTCATCAACTCCAAGCTGGTGAAGACCAAGCCTGGGGCAGCCGGTAAGGAGTTGTGCCGGCGCAGCACCCCTGTTTCAGAGTATCTGTCGATGGGCGCATTCATTGCAGATGCGGGAGGTGGGCGCAGCCAGAGATGGCAAACAAGCCGCCGCTTCTCCCAGCCCTCCCAGCATTGGTGCACCGACATAATCCCACTCTCCCCTCCCCCCAAACCCCACCTCCCTCGCTCTCCAGGCGTGTCGGCCTTCGAGCCAGAGGACCTGGCGGCGGCGCTCAAGAGGTCGCTGTACCTCGCCTCCCGCAGCGCCGACCCCGTGGTGGAAAGCGCGGCGCGCGCAGTGTACACCTTCCTGCAGCGCGCCGCCGCGGGCCAGCACAGCGCCGGCGACGGCGCGCGGGCGGTCGCGGCGCTGGAGTCGGCGCAGGCGGCAGCCCGGGACGTGCTGGCCAGCAGGCGGACGCGGCTGGACCGCGCTTTCTTCGCCAACCTGCTGGGGCGCGTGCCCACTCTGGCCCCGCATCTGCTCCCGGGTCTGCTCCGGGGCTGCAGCGGCGCGCGCAGCGAGTTCGTGCGCGCCGAGGCGGTGGCGCTGACGCAGCTGGCGCTGAGGACGGGGCAGGCCGGCGTGGCCGGCGTGCTGGGGGACCGAGTCGCCGATGTGCAGGCCCTCCTGCTGTCCGCCTGCGACCGCGGCGTCTTTGCCAAGCCGGCGCGGCAGGCGGAGGCGGCGCGCCTGGCCGCCCGCATGGCGGCCACCCTGCTGCCGGTGCAGGGCAGGGCGGGCCCGGCCGGCCTGGACTGGGGGGCGGTGCGCGCGGCGGCAGGCGCCGCCGCGGCCGCCGCGGCCGCCGCGGAGTCGCAGAAGGCGGCGGCGGCGTACCAGGCGCTGCTGGAGGCCATCCCAGAGAGCGCGGCGGGCGCGGCCGCGGGCGCGCCCAAGCCGAGGAAGAGGGCCAAGAAGGCATGAGGTTCATGCGGTGCATGCAAGATCACCACAGCCTTTGAAACCCTGCGCATATGCCGTAGGAAAGGAGGTGATCTCCCTCAGGTTACATCGATGACCTCAGCACTTGAAGCCGCAGCAGCAGAGGGGCAGAGCAGCTGGATGGAGGCCACGCCAGTCGTGAGCAGCGCCGTGTACCGATGGCGGTCGGTCTGGGGTCGAAGGAAGGCATCCACCCTCTGCCCCTCGGTGATGCCCTGCTGCATCTGGTACTCCAGTGCCTATACAGGGATAGGAGGGGGGGTTGAGGTGTATGGGTTGGTGTCCTGACACGCAAGGAGAAGGCGTAAATGGAACAAGTACAATGTTGTGCCCATGCGTGCGGTGTACCGCCGGGTCTTGTTCTTCCCTTTAGAAACAACACCCACCATGTCTGTGTCAAAGCGCTCTATGTGCTCCATCAGGCGCGTGGCCAGCGTCTTCTGGGTTACGTCGCCGCTGGCCACCTTGTCGATCACATCCTTCTCGGGTGGGGCCAGCCTGGGCCGTTTGCCTGGAAAGCACGGCAAGGTGTGGGTTTGCGCACTGGAGGAAAAATGAAATCGCACCCGTTTACTAGTACTGAGATGAAGATAATGAGGAGGGCAGCAGTTCACCAAGTTCAAAACGCAAGTGCAGAGGGTGAGGGAGCAATGCTTGCTGCATTGCACCTCAGCAGCGCAGGCCCCCGCCCTGACACCCCCAAAGTCAACCCAGCACCTCACCTGGCCTGGCCGCGATCCCCTGCACGATGGCGTACACGGCCGCCGCCACATTGGGCACGTACTTGGTCAGCGCGCGCTTGCGCTGCGCCTGCTCCCGAGCTGCCGCCTGCTTCACCAGCTTGGATCGGAGCTGCAGGCAGCAGGCCTGGAGTGCAGACTTGACGGCCGCCTGCATCTCCTCCACGTCGTCCGCTGTGGAAAGGCAGACAGGGGAGAATAAGTTTGGTTTGTGGTAGAAAAAAGAAGGACAGGAGGGGATGGGGAGAAGCTGGAGCTCACCAGCCTGCACCGCTGAGTCTCACCAAAAAGTCAACAAAAGAGGCAGACCGCATGCAGACATGCGCCCGCAAGTGCGTCCCAAGGTACAAGGGACCAGCTCTCTGTGAGTGGAGTCATTCCACTGCCGGCAGCAGGCACGCCAAGTCCAAGCCCTGCACAACCTCCCGCCCCGCCCAAACCGTCCGTCACACCAATGTACTCCTTCCCCGCGCCCTTGAAGGGGATCTTGGTGGAGACGATAGACACAAAGACCCCCACCCTGTCGGTGGCCTGGTTGATCTTGTAAAGCGCCCAATTAATGCGCTTGAGGGCCGTGCGGGTGATCACATCGGAGCCGCCCTGCACAGTGGGCAGAGGGGGTGGTGCAGTGCATACTGAACGGCCTGGTATCAACTCATCCGCTCACCGAAGACTTGCCGTGTCAAAGAATGCCCCACTGTGGGACCCCCACCCAGCCCCAGTGGCCCACCTCAAACAGGAGCGGGATGCGGTTGGCAAAGCGGTGGATATTGATGCCGGGCTTGACGGTGGACCCGCCCAGGCTGACCCCCGCTTCCACGAGGAAAGCATGGCCATCGTGCACACGAGCCTCGCCCTGGTGGGTGGCCACCAGGTCCGGCCCAAACTCCTTCATGATGCCGAGTCGCAGGTTGTACTCTCCTGCACGATTGTTTGGGGGGCTCAAGGCTCATGGTGGTTGGGCTTTCATGGAGCAGACACTGGTGAGGGTGGCGCTGAAGGTTTCCAGGCCCAGCTGCATGCAGTGCTGCTATCAATGCCTCCAAGAATCATCCTCAACCCCTCCACTTCAGGTCCCACCTGCAGGGCTCAGGTGGTTGCCAGAGGGGTCGGGAAACTTGACTTCGTGCAGCAGCTGGTGCAGCCTGACCAACTGCGTGTCCCCCAACTCCGCCGGGGTCATGTCCGCGCTCACCCCCGCCTGCATCTCATCCAGGATGCGTCCTGGAAGGGGGAGGTGGGACCGTGTGAGTGGCTGTGGCGGTCCCGGGGGAGGGCACATTGCCCTGATGAGTTCAAAATTCCAGCTGCATGTTTGCCGGCTCAGATGACGGTGGGATCGACCCGATCCTGAGCTGACAATGAGAAGGACAGGTAGAGGCAAACATGGTGCATCCACAAGTGCCTCCTGCCCCATTGCCTGACAGTTCGCGGGACACGCATGCAAAGCTCTTGGAAAGGAAGGCCAGCAGTGTGGCGTCCTTCGAGGCTGCCGCCAGGCGCTTGATGAGCTCCAGGTCCACAGAAGCTGGATGGTGCTTGATGATCTGAGCCAGAGGAAGGGGGGAGATTGCAGCGTGGGACATTCGCCAGCCAGCCAAACACAGTCTCTGGCTCTCAGGCCCAATCCCTCAGCAGACTGATTCACCATGTAGAGCAAGATGTGTCTGTCGGCAACCCATCACCTTGGGAGGGGACGCCATCACATCGGTCCTGCGAGCAAACACGATGTTGAGGGACTGCTTCTCCTCCTCTGCCACGTACTTGAAGTTGAACTGCACAGCGTCGGAGGGGTTGTAGAACTGAGTGAAAAGCACAGGTTGGGAAGCAGTCCCAGCCGGGAGGGCTCTCCAGTCAAGGTGCACATCCGACTCGGATGTCAGTGGTATTACAGGATGTGCAATCTAGAGCGCATCCTGCCAATGGGCATGCACGGCCCTGTTGGCCTCCATGATCCCCCTTGAATCACCCGTGTCCGCAACCTGGGTGTATGGCGTGATGACGGCGATGAGCTGCAGGTACTTGAGCACCTTGGAGCGATAGTACTGCCAGTTCCCGGCGATGATGAGGCTCAGCTCCGCCCCATGCCAGTGGTCAAGGTTGTCCAGCAGCTTCTGTTCGTGCACGTTAGGCTGGTTCCTGCAGAGAGAAAGGAGGAATCGGAGCACCCGCTAGGGCGCACTCAAGTTGAGAGTGGGAAGAAATCAGGGCAGGTACCAAGTCCCTTAGCATCCCACATGATAGGATGAGCACAGGCAGCACAGACGCCACCTACTTCTGGATGTCGATGTCCAGCTTGTAGTAAGAAATGGTGGCGGACCGTGGGCGCGCCGAGCGGATGGTGATGGGCAGCCCCGTGCTCATCTTGCTCCAGATCAGCGCCATCTTGGCTCCCAGCCCAAATTTGCCCCGCGTTTGGGCGACGCCGTACTTGGTGCCTGACAGGACCCGGCCCAGCATGTCTGGGATCTGGGCGTGGGCCATGCCCGCGCCATTGTCCTGGGTGGAGATGGAGATGGTTTGAGAGGGGGAGTCCTACTCTGAGGTAGGATCACTGCAGGGTCCAGGTCCTGCCAGGCGCAGGGAGGGCGGCTATAAGCAAAGCCCACAACCCCATGGACTGGATGCGGGGAAGGCGCGATGCGGAGCAGGACCCAAAGGTATCCGCTTACCTTAATAGTCACCCTGTAGAAGACCTTGTCGGACCTGCCGCCTTGCGCCGCCGCCTGCCGGGCCTCCAGATCCCGCCGCTTGCCGTCCAGGGCATCGCCTGTTTCCCCCTTCTGCAATGGTTTAGGAAGGTTTCCAGAGCCTGGGCTTCCTGCCATCATATGAGCACCATCTGTAGCCAATTTATGCTTCCCACCCGAGTGCCTTGTTTAAGGCCCTTGCTTTCTGCAACGAACGGATGTTGATCCATGCACCGACATCAGCGTTCTCCCACGCAGCCCTACCATCCAGACCTCACCTTGGCAGCCAGCTTTTCCAGTCTGTCCAGCTCCTTGGCCTCTCTTTGGAGCCTTTTCTGAAATGTTGCCAATGGGAATCACTGAGTAAGGTCATGTGCACGATCGATGACATCCAGGCAGCAGGAGTGCATAAAGAAGCTGGAAAGAGTGCTGCGGTGCAACTCTTCCCAGCATTGAGTAAACGTAATTGCAGCTCTGTAACATATCAAGTTGCCCACACCTCCAATCCCACACGAAATCCCACCACGCGCGCCGCATCTGACTCAAAGTCATGGTAAAGGGCCTCATCGATTCGGTCTGGATTGCTGATCCCGCGCATGTGGTTGAGGGCATGCTGGCTCATCTCCTCACTGTACAAGGTAACATGCCATGAGAGGGACGTGGGCGTGTGAGCGTGCGGGATCAGCATATAGGAACTGTTACATACGCATCCCTTACCCAGACAAATCTCACACCATCATCCCTTACATGGTGATGTCAATGTCGGGGAGGACATGGATGCTCTCTGCAGCATCCAGTGCATTCTCCACCAGCTCTCGTATCGTTGTGTACAGGCACTTCCCAGGCTGTGTCGGCGAGGAAAAAGGGGACTAGTTATTGAACAGGAGGCCTCCTGCACCTCTGCCAACACCCTAGAGCTAGATCAACAGAATGCTCACATTGTCGAAGCCAGCGATGTTCCTGTTATCCGCGAAAAACTCAGCGGGGCTCTTCTGTTCCAATATATCGTCCTTTAGCGCTTTGGACGTCTTGGGAGCCGCTTTGACGCCCATGGTGGGGATCTGCCCGACCCTGGTTAGCTGCCCCGTCAGGGTGAGACTTTGCACTGTTGACGGGCAATGTTGCAGAGCATCACGACACAGTCATCTCGCCCGACGCATGAGTTGTAAAGTGTGTAATTGCAAGAAGTCGGGCGATCAGGGTCGTTCAGAGGGCACCGAGATCCTTGCGGGCACACATACTGATTGCAGCGATTCAATTTTTATCATGGGCGCCACGACGAAACAACCCTCATTCCGAGACCCACACACATTGGGCCTGAATCGGTCTGCCAAGGATACATATTCTGTCTCGCATACATTCTGAATACTCTGAGACCAAACATCGTTGCTTAGATGCTGTGTTCTAGGTTGGTTCGTCGGGCACTGGCTAGTGCAGCAGCGACCACGACAGTCCGCGACCTGCCTGCCTTCTTCTCTCTGCGCCCACCCAAGCTCTATAACAGCGAATGGGACGCATGCTTCTCGTCTCAGAGTCAAGGCAGGGAACCAGGTGCTGGCGCAATCCTGCAGGTGTGCATCCAGGGGTGCAGCATGGACCTCTCCTCCAGCTTCTGGGTGGTGTGAGATGATTGACAGCGACCGCCACATCGAGGTCACCAGGTCAGGCAATGCGTTCCTTTACACTACCGAGCAGAATATCCAGGCCCAGAAGTTCCTGAGGGAGCTGAAGCAGCTGCAGAGGCACCAGAAAGTGATGAGCTTCTCGGAGCTGGTGCAAGGGTACATGAAGAGGTGAGCCCCTGCATGAAGTGTCATGTGTCCTGCTTCTTGCGCCAAGCTGAGCCCTGGATCCCCGCCCTTGACCATGTCCCGCTCAGGACCCCTCAACCTGCGCCCATGCATGCAGCACGGGGGTCACGGATGGCGACGAGGCCTCGCGGAACTGCGCCGCGCTTTCCACCGCGGGCCTGATCTTGAAGCATGGAGACCTGGTCTACCTTGAGCCTGGGGAGGTGGCGCTGGCGGTGCTGGGGGCGCTACCCCAGCAGCCGCAGCTCCTGCGTGCCAAGCTGGAGGAGACGCGGCGGGAGCTGGCGGTTCTGGAGGACCGGCGAAGGCATATCGAGCGGAGCGTGGCCAGGTGGGGCTCAGTGGGTGGGGCCCAGGAGCGGTGGAGGGGGAATCCTGGACTAGCACTGGGCACTAGCTTGCCCCTGGAAACGCAGCGCATTGTAGTTTTAGCTTGGGTGATGGAGCCCAGGCCGTGGCATCAGTACGACGACGTCGCGCCAGCGTGTCCATGACCATGTGAACTCTCCTCCCCATCCTCCTAAGGAAACATCACCTGGCGAGGTGGGGAGGGCTGGCCTTCCTCACCCTCCCCTGGGCCATCCTCTTCCGGCTGACATACTGGGAGCTGTCCTGGGACGTGGTGGTGAGTGGGGGCATTGAGATCTGAAGGAATTGGCATGGGGATGGAGGTGCAGCTTCTCTCTGCTGCTTTCACCCCTCTAATCTTGCGGCGCTGCAGAGGAATGACACAACTGACTGCTCTGCTCTCAACACCCGACAGAAGGCTGGCCGCCCACTGCCACTTCCACACCTACACAGTCCATTCCCCCCTCCTCCCTTCCCAGGAACCCATTGGCTTTTTCCTGACTGGGCTCACCACCATCCTCTCATACCTCTGGTACATGCACCATCGCGCCGAGTTCACGTGGAGCGAGATGCACCAGCGCATGATCAGCGGCTGGGAGGTGGGCTCTTGGGGGGAATTGGCGGCGGGTGTTGCACTTGAATCATATCGCGTGCGCAACCTCAGCTCCGGGTGAGTGCCTTGCAAGAACTGGCTTCCCACGCGCGTTCAACCCCCACCTGCCTCAACCCTTCCATCCTTCCACCTCCACAGCAACAAGCCTTCAAACGTGCCAATTTCGACGTCGCTCGATATGAGCAGCTGCGGCGAGCCGCAGAGCGCCAGGAACAGGCGCTGCGCCTAACCACGCCGACCCAACCCCTATCACCCCATGCTGAACCTCCCTGATGTAGAGGCTGACCGCATGCAATCCCTGCAGCAGAATGAAGACCTTGGCAATTGCACAGCACTGGGATCGCCTCAACTGTGCCCAGGGACCGAGCTCAAGGCACTAGGTCAACTCAATGGGAGCTCTCCAGAGTTACAGTCCGGTATGTTGCATCAAGGCTTCAGTTCGTGTCACGCCTTCTTGCCCCGACTCTTGGCACTGCCCTCCCGCCCGCCCTTCTTCGCCACGCCTCCGGCCTTGGTCTTGCCGGTGGGCGCCCCCGCGCCCTTGCTGATGCGCCCCTTCTTGTTGGCGCCCTTCATCTTCATGCGGTGGCGGTCCTCCCGCGCAGCGCTCTCAAATTTGCCGATCGCGCGGCCCACATCCACGATGTCGTCGGCGTTTTTCCGCAGGATGTGGTCGACCAGCTTGCTCTGGGAGGTCCGCTCGCCTCCGTCCTGCAGGGTGGCGATGGGATATATGGCACAGGGATGGTAAACACGCGTTATGCGCTGCTTAGGCAGTGGTATTTGGGGTATCGGCGTGTTGGTGTGCCAACGCTTTGCCTACTATGAGCAGACCGCCCCATCCAAGCTCTTCAACTCTAGGCACGTCGTGGGGGTTCAAGTCCCTCGTTGGGTTCAAGCCTCTCACCGGGCATGCAGCCTGCAGGGAGGCCGCAAAACCCCCCCCCAAAAAGAAGTATATACATACAAATACAATATACATATACCACCCTCTCCCACCCATCATTAGCCCTACCTTGTTAGCCACGGGGGGCAGCTTCTTCCTCTTGCCCGGCAGCTTCCGGTCCGCCACATTCTCACCAGCAACCACACGATCGTGTCTCCCCAGCGACGCCGTGGAGATGGCTGCCTGCCGCGTCGCCGCTTTCAGCTGGGAGGGGGAAGGCGAGTCTGGATGAAGCAGCATGGCCATCGGCCACAACCCACTCTGACCAAGCGCCCAACCATGTATGTCCCTGAACCCCGCCGCCCTTCCTATGACCTCTGTGGGTAGTTCATTGGAACCATGCTCAAGGCTCTCACCTCCTGCTTGTAGTCCTTGTGGCGCACCGGCCGGCCCCGCCCATGCTCTGGCAGGGCGGCCGCCAGCCTCAACGTGGGCGGCAGGGCCCCCTTGCCCCCGCTCTTGGCAGCCGCCTTCAGATTGGCCAGCTGCGCCTTCTCCTGCTTGGCCACCCGTGCCTTCTTATCACGCTTCTGCTTGGAGAAGGGGTCATCGCCCACCTGCAGTTTGCGGAAAAGGTGAAAAGGTCGATTGGTGACAGTTTTGGTGCACACACTTGAACTGTTTCTCAACCATGGGCGCGTCCACGTATGGCGACTGGCACAGTGAAGCATCGCCCCCCTCACTAACCCACTCACGTCTTCGCCATCCTTGGCATCAATGATGGGGACGGCCGCCGGGTCGTTGGCCTTGCTGTACCCGTGCCTCCTCTTGAATGTGTCGCTGGTCTCGTCCAGCACCAGCTTACTGCGCTTGTGTTTGGTGATGCCCTTCTTCTTGGCAAACAGCTCCCACTTGGTGGGAGGCCTGGGCCTGGGTATTGGCTTCTCCCGGGGCAAGGCTGTGGTGGGGGCTGGTAGTTCTGCGATGCGGCCCACGTCGGCGGGCTCTGAGGGCAGGGCGAAGAGTCGGCCCACCAGCGCCTGCATGATGCGGGATGCCGTGGAGGCGCAAGCACCGGAGGCGTCCCGGGCGTAGGCTTCCGCATCCACGGGACTGGGGTCGTAGGCACAAAGATTCCCAAGGTCAAACTCCAGTCTCGCATCTATTTCCTCGCTGCATGTGCGAGGTATTGGAGGGGGGGGGTTGGGGATCAGGGACTTGGCCGGTCCTGACCGTGGGCACTCAGGACGACTCCCCACCGGCGACTCCTCACCTGGGGCCGAGCCCCAGCTCAGCGGGGGTGACTTTTACGGGTCCTTCTGCCATACTGATAATGTAAAGTGTGCATGCAGCCCGGAAAATGTGCTGCCTTTCACGAACTTCACAGAGCACCGCGAAAAAGGCGCGCGATTGCGCTCCCCGGCACTGTTGCGCGCTGGCGAAGACCTCCTTGACCCCTATTAAACCTGCATGGCCGTGCTGAAAGCTCCCGGTCCTCCCAGCAGCCTCGAGCTGTACATGTTTGAGTCGCGTCACGTCAGACATCCTCAATCACATCCAGGACCGTATCGAGGGGCAGGGCACTTTGCTCCGGACCGTCGGCTGGCGCTTCCGCAGACAGGTTCGGATGCTCCTCGGATATAGGCACTGAGGGTTCAAGGGGTGCGCTCCGGGGTTCACCCTCCTCAACCGCCATATCTTGCGCAGGTGAGGACTGTTCCGGCGGCGGGGGTGGGTCTCCCTGGTCCCAGCATCTCACCGCCTCCTGTTCCTCCGCCAGGCGAGCCAGCTGAGCGGCCTGGGGGAGCAGAAGGAGGGGACGTTGGCTGCTGAGTCCATCCCAGCCATGGTCACAATTGGAACCTTCCAGCCTTGACACGGGAACAGTGTAAGGGGAGGGGCCCGATCCCCGTCCCACTGGCCCCCATCCGCACCTTCCACTCCGCTCTTTCCAGCTTGTGTGCAGCCCACAGCCCAGCGGTGGCCACACTGTCCTTAGCAGGCCTCCAGTACAGGCGGGGTCCTGCGCTGGCAGGCGTGAGGAGGTACTGGGCGTCCCAGCATGCATGCCGCGCCAGCCGCTGCGCCGTCAGCAGCTCCACCCGCTTCAGATTGGCCTCGATGGCCACCCTGGCCCGCTCTGCCACGGCCTCCGCCCTGCGGGTGTGTGCAAGGTGGACACACGGTCATGTGCGAGTCTTAAATGTTTGTCGGCCTCCCTCTATGGCCAAGGCAATGACACCATGCACACGGTGTCTTTGGGCGCTGTTCTCCCCTCAAACCCTCGCCAGCCTATCACCTGGCATCCTTCTGCTGGCGGAGCAGGGTCTCCCTCGCGAGTCTGGAGGCATTGCTGGAGCGCTGCTCTGCCTTCTGCAACAGCGCTGCTCGCCGCTTGCTGACCTCAAGGTTGGCAGAGCCCTCTTCTGCAGCCTTGAACTGAGCTAGCGTGCCCAGCAGGGATCCAAAAATCCTCCTGTTACGCTTCTGCAGCACAGAGGAGCACGGAGAGGGAATAGAGTCAGTCACAAAGGGTACCTTGGTGGAGGTTATCAACTGCAGACCCAGTCGGCAGCAGGGACCTCCTTGGCTGATAGCGGCTGCAGCTACTGACATGGCGGCTCCAACGCTCCCCACCTTAATGTCGGCTCTTTCTTCAAGGGCAGCCCCCTCAGGCTCGCGTTTGAGGCCACGGCTCTCATCATCCACGTCACACTCGCCGCCAAATCCCGAGGGGACAGCCACTCCTGACGAAACTGCAACTGCTGTGGAAGCCACTCTCCGGCGAGACTGCGCTCGAAGAAGGGTGGAAGTGTATTCAGATGCGAAGGGCCCCTTCCACACTCAGAACCAACACGTTCCCAAATCTTGGTGACCAACTGTCGCCCACCTCTTGTGGGTGCTGAGAGGGAGGCTCCCTCCACCCGTGATCCCTTACAGCAGGAGCCCTGCCCTCGTTCTGCCACCCCGGGTCTCTCATTGTTGCATGTGGAGCGCCAGGAGGTCCTCGCTGCCTCCTTGTGAAGGATTCATCGCCATGGAACCCGCGAAAGGCACCATTGTCGTCCTCACGGGGAGGTTCTCGGCTCACAGTGCCGCCTCTGCCTGGCAAACCCCTCCCCCGGCCGCGACCTCTGCCGCTGTGCTCCCTCAAGCGCGCATCGATCTGGGGGCGGTTTAAACTGATACTTTAATCCAACCCAGGTAATATCGACCAAGGCACAGCGTGTCAGACGGACACTGACCTGTTGTTGCTTGGAGGTGAGCTCTTCTAGTTCCGCTTTGATCCTGCCCACATCCATATCTTGGCCATTCATCTTGATGACTCAATGTAATGTTTGTGCTATACGGCGGTCTCTCTCAGGAAGTCCTCGCCGCCTGCTCTTCATTGAGGTCGTAGGCGCGGACGAAATTGCATGCGATGCATGGGCTCAACACGGGAGACATTCGTCGGTGGTGATGCATGGGTCAGATGAAACTGCGCCGTACTCATGTACACTGCTTCTAGTAAAAGATTCGTCTGCCGATTCCCTGAGCGCTGCGGATTATTCAGGACGGGAATGGTCAGTGCCGTCCAGGGAGTGATCTTCAAGTGGTAAGGGGCCTGGTGTCAACCAGACTCGTAATGCCTTGGCCACGCCACCAAATCAAATCAACTGATAATTCTGACTCCTTTCCATATTCTGTGCCGATGGTAGTGATGTGCCGCTGAAGGAGTACATCCGATCCCTGGACGATGCGGCATCGGCTGCAGAGAAGTTCATCATCGCCGAGCTGGACGATCAGAACCTGTTTGTGAAGGTGGCTCGCGCGGAGTTCGTGGAGGCCAAGGTGAAGCAGTTTGTCAACGCCCTGCACTTCACAAAGCCGGAGGTTGCGCCAGGGCAGGCCTGAGCCTGAGGAGGAAGATGGGGGAGCTGCGGCCCAGCGTCCTGTCAGTGCAGCAAGACCGCGCGGCGGTGTACAACGACCTGAAGCAGGCCTTCCTCTGCTTCATCAAGACCAGGGCGGAGGGGCCTTGGCGGTGAGAGCCGGGTAGACAGATCTTGTTCGCGCAGTGATTGACTTCGTGGCGCTGCCTCCCATGCACGCCGGCGAGCCATAGCTCCCTTCCCGAATCTCGGATTCCTCCTGCTGCCTCAACCACAGACACGCCATGGCAGCAGCAGCTCCCGCGTTCCAGGCTCTGTCTGACAAGATCAGGTCCCTGATCGCCTCCTGCCCGGCGCATGCCCCCCTCCTCTCCAGACTGCAAGACCTGGAGAGGGAGAGGCTGCGCATGACGCTGGCGCTCTATGCCCTGCAAGCCCCTGCCCGCCTGGAGCTCTTTGCCTGGCAGCAGAATGACGGCAGCCCCCTCAAAGCAGGGCAGGGGTGCGGGTGCGGCTCCGGCGATGGCCACTCGCGTGCCGCCCATCAGACCCAGGAGCCCACGGAGGCAGAGTTCCGTGCGGCAGTGAGGGAGCTCACCTGCGGCATCGAGGTGGGGGTTATGGGACCAGAGGATGCCCTGTCTCCACAGCCTAGGCGGGGAGTGTGCTTGACGCGGCGTCGAGGAATTCTCGGCTCTGGGCTGCCCTCAAACCCGCCTGCCGACCTACAAAGCACTCACACCGCAGGAGAACACCGTTGCCATCAATGATGTCTTGGATGAGGTGCGTGACATCGAGGACAATGACGGCAGCGAGGACATGAGCGAGGCAAGAAACGGAGCTCCCTGCGATCCCAGCGATGCACATACAGCCAGGACGGCAACCCAAGGTTGACACCAAGTGTTTGCACGTCTCCTCCCCGACCCAACGCCTGGCAGTATGTACATTGGAGTACCCCATTAAACACAAAGAGGCAGATCACAGGTCTTGCCTGCAGCACAGCATGCTGGTATGCCTGCCTGCCTGATGCATGGCCAGTGCCTCAGCTCGGCAGCTCCTTGCCGTACACCACGAAGAATGGATTCAGGGCTTCAGGCTTGTTGTAATGCAGCGGTATCGCCTGTTCTAGGGCTCCCTGGGATGGAGAGGGGGTTGGTCAAGAACCATTGGGCGCATACCTCGGGGCAAGAGAATGGCGCTCTCAAGGTAATGTTGCCTTGTGCGGCAGACACAGGATGGCGACAGCGCCAGGCTTCATCACTTTTGTGTTGGTATCTCATGACAGTCGAGGCCCCATGTCTTCCTGAGAAGGATGCCCCTATCAGTGACCCCTCCCCCAACAAAAAGCTCATGCCAGCCACCTGCACCCCCTCAACACACCCTCCAGCCCTCCAGGGCATTGCCGCTGGAGTCGCATCTGCCGGCCTGCAGCACCCGGCCCCCTGCCTCCTCAACGATGGCATGGGCCGCCGCGGTGTCCCACTCGCACGTCGGGGCCAGCCGGGGGTACATGTGCGCCGCGCCCTCCGCCACCATGAGCAGCTTCAGGGAGGAGCCGACGGCGCGAAACTGGGGCGCCCGGAACTCGCCCACAAACTCCGCCGTCTCCTGGCTGGCATGGCTGGCAGATCCCACGATCACGAGGCCCGGGTCTGTCTCCCTGAAGGTCGCACAGTGGAGCTGGCGGGGAGGCGAGGCCGGCGACTCACGCGCCCAGGCCCCCTTGCCGGCGACGGCCCAGTACACCTTGCCCTGCCGGGTGAAAGCAGGTGCTACAGGGGTGAGCTGGCAAGGGGAGGCACAGTTTGAGCACCAGGCATGCGCTGAGTGATCCAAGCAAAGCCAGCCCCTCATCATGAGGGGGGGGGAGACTGCACAGTCCACGGGCAGAGCAGGTGCGTCAGGTGAGCGCCCACCTACGCTCCCTCGACACGCATTCCACACTCTTGCACCCTCTTGGCACCTGGACTGGCACGTGGACCACGCCCAGCACCGGCTTGGCGCCCTGGAGCAGGGCGATGTTGACGGTGAACTGGCCATTGCGTTTGAGGAACTCCTTGGTCCCATCCAAGGGGTCGACGCACCAGCAGTACTGGTAGTTCTGCAGGAGGAGGGGCCACAGGGGGATGGTGTGGAGCATGGCGATGGTCCGGCCAAAGATTTGCAAGGCGAGACCAGACACGCTCCAGCCAGTCCTACTCACGCACCTTGCGTGTGCTGTACTCCACCTTCTGGTTCTCCTCAGACACAATGGGAATGTGGGGCGCTGGGAGGGGGAATGAGGGGGCTGGTGAGCGGTGGTACATTTGTAATGAGGTTCCAGCACCGCTGGCACACAGCCGTCGACAGATCCCTACCCACCCAGCTGAGTGAGGCCGGAGCAGATGATGCTGTTGGCCTCCCGGTCGGCCCGTGTCAGTGGGGACTGATCAGCCTTGATCTCCACCTCCGGGTTCTGCATGGAGTAGCCGAGAGCGGAAACACATCTTGGATGCAGCTTGAGATGGGCTCAGGCCTGCTCACAGCCTAGCGACCAGGGCGCCCCCGCTCGCCTCGGCATGGTACACCCGGAGGATGGCTTGCGCGGCCACCTCCGCGATGGCCACGACCTCCTGGACATCTATATCAAACCTCAGCTCAACATGAAGTTTGTGCATGCTGCAGCTGGCGAGAGGCGCAAGGGCGACGTCGGAAATAAGGCTGCGAGTGTCGGAGCCCCGTCAGTTCCGACGGTGCCCTTAACCACACTGGTGTTGACGGTTGGGGGGTAAGGAGCGTAGTGTACAGCAAGCGGGCGGTCCGGCAGCCTCTGCACCGCCATCAGACAGCATTCTTCAATATCTATGACACACACACACGTGATGTGGAGGTGATGGGGAGACCCGGAGGGAGCCGCTGCGGCCGGCCCGCCTCCATGCCGGCAAGGCGGTGTCCCAGGCCCCCTTCACCCGACGCTGCCCTCCAGCTTCAGGCTCATCAGCTGGTTGACCTCCGCGGCAAACTCCAGGGGCAGCTCGTTGAACACCTCGCGGCAGAAGCCCGAGATGATCATGCCCACCGCCTCCTCCACCGCCACGCCACGCTGCTGGAAGTAGAACAGCTGGTCCTCTCCGATCTTGGAGGTGGAGGCCTCGTGCTCCACGCGCGCGGTGGGGTTGCGCACCTGAGCGAGGGGGGGAAGGGGAGCATGGTGGGGGGGGGGGGCCCGAAGGTGGTGGGATGTGACAGGGTGGCAGCTGCTGTGCAGATGTGCAAGGGGCTCCGCACCTCCCTCCCCCCCGTCCCAAGCGAGACCCCCCACACCGCACCTGGATGTACGGGTAGGTGTTGGCCCCGGCCTCGTCCCCGATCAGCATGGAGTCGCACTGGGAGTGGTTGCGCGCGCCGTCGGCCCCGGGGCCGATGCTGACCAGGCCGCGGTAGACGTTGCGCGACTGGCCGGCGGAGATGCCCTTGGACACGATGCGCGATCGCGTGCGCGGCCCCACGTGGATCATCTTTGTCCCCGTGTCGGCCTGCTGCCGGTTGTTGGTCAGGGCCACGGAGTAGAACTCGCCCACCGAGTCCGCCCCCGCCAGCACCACCGAGGGGTACTTCCAGGTGATGGCCGACCCGGTCTCCACCTGGGTCCAGGAGATCTTGGAGCGCGCGCCGGCGCACACGCCGCGCTTGGTCACGAAGTTGTAGATGCCGCCGCGCCCCGCGGCGTCCCCCGCGTACCAGTTCTGGACCGTGGAGTACTTGATCTCTGCATCCGCGGCCGCGCTGAGCTCCACCACCGCCGCGTGCAGCTGGTTGGTGTCGTAGGCGGGGGCGGTGCAGCCCTCCAGGTAGGACACGTGGGACCCCTCCTCTGCCACGATCAGCGTGCGCTCAAACTGCCCCGTCTCCGCGGCGTTGATGCGGAAGTAGGTGGACAGCTCCATGGGGCAGCGCACCCCGCGCGGGATGTAGACAAAGGAGCCGTCGGAGAAGACGGCAGAGTTCAGGGCCGCAAAGTAGTTGTCGCTGGTGGGGACCTGCAAGCGATTGTTTTTTGGGGGGGAAGGGGGGGGGGCGTATGCATACTGACTGTACGAGGGTGGTGTAAACGATAAAGGAGGGATGCGGAGGAGACAGTCTAGGGGCAGGGGAGCCATGTCTGAGCAAGAAGCAGAGGAGTGTCAAAGGGGCCGGGGCAAAGGCTTTGCAGAAGGGCGAGGGGGCTCAGAACATGGATCAAACTGCCAGCCCCGGCCCAATCATCATGATGATAAACACACGCGCAGTCACACACCCGCTTCCCGCCCACCCACGACAATTCCCCCAACCTCGATCCCAGACGCACCACCGAGCCCAGGTGCTTGCGGATGAGGTCCGGGTACTCGCGCACAGCCTCGGAGATGGAGCAGAAGATGACGCCGGCCTTTCCCAGCTCCTCGCGGAAGGTGGTGGCGATGGACACCGAATCAAACACGGCATCGACGGCGACGTTGGCCAGCCGCTTCTGCTCGGCCAGGGGGATGCCCAGCTTGTCAAAAGTGGCCAGCAGCTCTGGGTCCACCTCTTCCAGGGACCCCTTCTTCTCCTTCTGGCGCGGGGCGGAGTAGTAGCTGTAGGCCTGGTAGTCAATGGCAGGGTAGTCGTTGTCCGACCAGGTCGGCTCCTCCATGGCCAGCCACCTGCGCCACGCCTTGAGCCTGCGCGGGGTGCGGGGTGGACAGGGGTGAGGGGATGGTTTTGGAAGATTGCATCATGTATCGAGGGCGCCGTGATCCCTTGTGGTCGAAATAGGCATGCCATGTCCCATGCCCAATCCCATGAACCCAGCCAGCTGCCTACCTAAACTCCAGGAGCCACTCCGGCTCCTCCTTCTTGAGGGAGATAGCCCGCACCACGTCCTCATCCAGGCCCTTGGGAAAGACGTCAGACTCTATGAACGTCTTGAAGCCGTACTTGTACGGCTTGCTCAACATGCGCTGCAGGTCCCGCTTCTCCTCCGACATTTCCGTGGCCGGCTCACGCACGAAGTCCGTGGCGGTGGCCCGCACTCGCGCGCACTGGGGCCTTGAGGGGCGGGCGGGGCGTGAGCCTGCCCGGAAAGGGCGTGCGGGGCATAGACTAGAGGTCAGTAGGCTCGCGCCCTGGAGCGCCTGTGTGTGCATCCCGCTCAGGCTCTCCGGGGGGGAGGGAGGGTGTCCTAGGGGTCGAAGATGTATGTCAGGAACAGAATATATCTGCAGGTGAAGTTAAGAGGGGGTTGTAGTTGTGCGACGGGTGATTGCTCCCTGGGCATAAAGACGAGAGGCCGGATGGGGGGAGGGGGGGATCCGCGAAGATATCCACGCTGGCACCATGAAAGATTTCCCATGGCAAAAAATGAACCAAAACTCCGTCAAATGAAGAAATCGATGGTGTACAATCGTAATAAAAAGCTGCTTCTGTAGATGGAATTTACCTGACCCTCGCGTGGTCCATGCAAGCATGCCGTGCATCTCCGTGCCTCCCCTCTGTTCAGCGACTGGGTGTGCAATGGTATAATATACTCCAGCGATCAAGCTGCGCATCATTGCATCACACTTTGGGAGTAGGGAGCTGTGCGACACCCGAGCGCCGGGGCTTTTGTCAGGCATCCTCCTCACACCGCGACGGCCCGGCTGCGGCCTTAGACAGGTCCGGTACAGGACCACTCGCAGGCCTTATTTCTGAGTTCCTAGCCATGATTTGCGCTCCCTCAATACCTCCTCATCCACTTGCTCCCCTGCAGGGAATCGCAGGCCCCCGCCCTGCGCCCAGACCTCCACATTGTCCTGGTTCACCCTCAAATTCCTCAGAACACCGGCAGCATAGCCCGAACATGCGCAGCCACATGTGTGGGGCTCCACCTGGTGGGCCCTATGGGGTTTCAGATTTCCGCAACCAAGTAAGACGGTCGGTGGGATCTTGAGTGAGGGATGGAGCTGGTGGTGCTAGAAGTCGGGAAGTGATGCGCATGGCGCATGTCTTGCACGCAGCACGAGCTCCCTCGGTCGACCGGCTCAACAAGACTGAGCAGTTTATGTGATCGCTAAGAATAAAATCCAGACACATCCCTAACTCTCACTCTGCAAGGTTGAAGCGCGCCGGCCTTGATTACTGGGACCACGTGTGCATGCAGGTGCATGATGACATAGAGGCATTCCTGGCGTTCTACGAGTCATTGCCGGGCCCCAAGCGCCTCATCGGCTACAGCAAGTTTGCAGAGCGCCACTATGCTCAGGATGGACTGTATGGTCCAGGGACGTGGCTTGTGTTTGGCAGCGAGACTTCAGGCCTGCCGACCATGGTGCGTGCGTATGGGGATGCAGCATTCTGCAGGGAAGAAGGGTGCTGTGCCGCCTTCAGGCAGCATGTACATGGTGCATGATCCTGTGGTTGTGACCACAACGAGCGCATATTTGCGAACAAGTACATGCCTTGAGTTCCAAAAGCTCTTGCGTGTCCTTACTGTGCTCACGCTACCACTGCCGTACCTCCCAGGCCGTGGAGGCCGTCAACAACGACGCAGGGAATAGTGCCATGGTGAAAATACCCATGCAGCAGCAGCATGTGCGCAGCCTGAACCTGGCAACCAGCGTGGGCATCGGCGTGTATGAGGCGCTGCGGCAGCTCGACGGCGCCGTCCTGCCGGACGTGAAAAATTACTGACTGGGGGAAGGCTGGCCAGTGCGACCAGCTGACATGCATAATTATGAATTTCCTTCAATACTATTTCCTCATCCAGGCATGGGTCGGATGGTTTTGATCTGGGAGCTCAACCCCCTCCTCAAAGTACACTGCCATGACCACGTGCTCACCCCCCGAGCGCGCGGGGAGCAACGTGCTTCCTAGCCAACTCGTGAACAAAGGTTTGGGGACATGGGATTAACCAACAAGAACTCCTCGATTACTGCACGAATTGACAGGCCGCACCCCGTATTCCTTGCGACTCGGAACACCCCCACCCGACTCCGACCAGTCCGGACCAGCCCCAACCACCCGGTAACAGGGGTTTCCCGGTCGGCGACCATGGCGGCACTGACATGCACCGCCCAGATAGTACCGAGCCTGCCTCGCCAGGCCGCGAGCGTTCGGGTCGGGTCTAGGGTACGTGCTGGGGGAGGGTGAGTAGGCCGACCCCGGTGCCACCCTTATTCTGTGTCAAGGCAAAGCATGTCGCCTCCTCCACATCGCAGGCACGCTCTGTCTCTGCCCCTCGCTCCCTGCGCTGCATGGTGGGTCTCGGTGCCGAGCGGATGGCCGGTGTCTCCTGGGCATTGGCTTCATGGAGATTCTTGCCGAATGTTCACCCAATGCCTGTGCAGGAGTGCTGATCGAAGCTCAGCTGGCGGCATCCTGCCGGGGCCCATGCCTCTCCTTGCATCACTCACCACTCCACCTGCTCCCTCCCCCCCCCCCCACCCGCAGGCCACCGCGGCCCCCACCGACACCCCGGCGGCCAAGAAGCTGTGGGGCGGGCGCTTCACCGGCGCCACCGACCCGTTGATGGAGAAGTTCAACGAGTCCCTGCCCTTTGACAAGCGCATGTGGGCCGAGGACATCCGCGGCAGCCAGGCCTACGCCAAGGCCCTGGCCAAGGCGGGCGTGCTGACCGACGAGGAGGCGGCCACCATCGTGGAGGGCCTGGCCCGCGTGGCGGGCGAGTGGGAGGCCGGCACCTTCCGCATCGTGGCCGGGGACGAGGACATCCACACCGCCAACGAGCGGCGCCTCAGCGAGCTGATCGGCGCGCTGGGGGGCAAGCTGCACACGGGGCGCAGCCGCAACGACCAGTGCGTCACCGACACGCGCCTCTGGCTGCTGGGCGCGCTGGGCCGCGTCCGCGCCTCGCTGCACGCACTCATCGCCGCGGCGGCGGACCGCGCGGCGGCCGAGGCCGATGTGCTCATGCCTGGGTACACCCACCTGCAGCCCGCGCAGACGGTGCGCTGGAGCCACTGGCTGCTGAGCCACGCGGCGGCCTGGCAGCGTGACGACCAGCGCCTGGCGGGCCTGCTGCCGCGCGTGGCCACGCTGCCGCTGGGCTCCGGCGCGCTGGCGGGGAACCCCTTTGGCGTGGACCGCCAGTTCCTGGCGCGCGAGCTGGGCTTCCACGGCGGCGTCTGCCCGAACTCCATGGACGCGGTGTCGGACCGAGACTTCGTGGCGGAGACCATCTTCACCGCCAGCCTGCACCTGGTGCACCTCTCACGCTGGGCGGAGGACCTCATCATTTACTCCTCAGGGCCCTACCGCTTCGTGCAGTGCAGCGACGCCTACGCCACCGGTGAGTGCCACTTTGCGTGTGTGTGTTTTGTGTCAATGGCGGGGGGTTGTGGGTGAGGGGCCGGTCTGAGACCGCCGTTGTGGTGCGAGACTTGTGAGGTATGCTCTCTTTGGTCGTGTGGGCCGGACTTTAAGCAGGTACACATCATGCGCCCCACATCTCCCCCTGCCGCTTCCCCCCAGGCTCCAGCCTGATGCCCCAGAAGAAGAATCCCGACGCACTGGAGCTGATCCGGGGCAAGGGCGGGCGCAGCATCGGCGGCGTGACCTCCATGCTGGCGGTGCTCAAGGGCACCCCCACCACCTACAACAAGGACTTCCAGGAGTCGTGGGAGCTCATGTTCGACGCGGTGGACACGCTTCACGACTGCGTGCGCATCGCCACGGGCGTGCTGAGCACGCTGCGCATCGATCCCGAGGCCATGCGCCGCGGCCTCTCCGCCGACATGCTGGCCACCGACCTGGCCGAGTACCTGGTGCGCCGCGGCGTACCCTTCCGCGAGACGCACCACATCTCCGGCGCGGCGGTGAAGATGGCTGAGGACCGCGGCTGCGCGCTCAGCGACCTGACCCCTGCCGACCTGCGCACCATCCACCCGCTCTTTGACGACGACGTGGCGGAGGTATGGGACTTTGCGCGCTCTGCCGACACGCGCGACACCGAGGGCGGCGCCAGCCATCGCAGCGTGGCAGAGCAGATCTCCAAGCTGCGCGCCTACCTGGAGCAGAACGCGGTCTGACGGCGCTCGGCAAGGAGGAGCGAGGAGGGATGGATCGAGGGGAGGGGGGCCGGTGTGCAGAGGCCACAGCCTCGGGTCAGGCGACCCGAGCTAGCCGCCGCCTTCATGGACCTTCTGAGGCACCGAGGCTGGGCGCGGTCAGCTCGCTGGCGAGCCCTCACTGGCACACCGCCACCCTCATCCACTGATGTCCTGATTTTTACACAGCATGCACGGCGCCAGCTTCCTTTGGAAATGTCTAGTTGACCCACGTAAGAAACTGCCCAACTAAGCGTCAGGGTGCTGGGACCCCACGCGCGCTCGAGGGATCAGATCAGTTCCGTTCCCGCCGACGTCCGCGCCCCGGTCGCGGCCCGTGAATGGCCAGATGGTCATCAGCAGGGTGCGGCACATTGGCCACCCAGAACCAAGGGCCAGATTTAAGGCAGCGATACAATCTATACAGGTGTGTCTGGTCATGGGCTGTGGTGGGGTGGGGTCAGGCGTCACGGTGGAGACGGCATTCTCCCTTTGCGCGCCGGAACGGGTGCCTGTTCCGTGGTCCAGACTTCACGCATTCCATGGTACCGGTGCCGAGCGACCCTTTGATTCCTGCAATCGCTTGGCCTATGCCATCCTCTCATCCCTTCCCTCCCCCACACACTAGGGTTCCCCGACACCCCCCCGGGACCCCTCTCACCATGGCCCGGTGCCTCCTCCTCGCTGCCCTGGCCGCGCTGCTGATCTCAGGCGCCCAGGCCGGGTGCAAGCTGCGCCGCGACCCCAACCTGAAGCCGGAGGACCGGTTCTACAACCACGTCCCCCTGAACTCCCAGCTCCCCCTTGAGGCCCTGCCCAAGAACTTTGACTGGAACAACAAGGACGGCCGCTCCTACCTGGCCCCCAGCTGGAACCAGCACATCCCCCAGTACTGCGGCTCCTGCTGGCTGCACGGCACCGCCTCCATGCTCCAGGACCGGCTGAAGATCACCAAGGACGGTGCCGGCCCCGATGCGATGCTGGCGCGCCAGGTCATCCTGAACTGCGCCGCCTTCCACGGCTTCGGCGGCGGCTGCGACGGCGGCGACGTCATCGACGTCCTGCGCTACATGGCCGCCTACGGCCTGCCAGACGAGTCCTGCATGCCCTACGCCGCCACGGACCACACCAAGTATGGCAAGCATGCCAAGGCCTGCCCCGCGGAGGGGTACTGCATGAACTGCATGCCCATCAAGGGCAAGGACACGTGCTGGGCGGTGAAGACCCCCATCCGCTACTATGTGGAGAGCTACGGCCAGATCACGGAGAAGGGCGAGGCGCCCATCATGAACGAGGTGCTGGCCCGAGGGCCGGTGGTCTGCTCCATCGCCACCCCCACCGTCTTCGACTACGGCTACCACGCCGGCATCTTCCACGACAAGGACAACTCCACCGACGTGGACCATGACATCGAGATCGTGGGCTGGGGCGAGGAGGACGGCCAAAAGTACTGGATCGTGCGCAACTCTTGGGGCACCTACTTTGGTAACCTGGGCTTCTTCAAGCTGGAGCGCGGCGTCAACTCCCTCATGATCGAGAACGGCGACTGCTGGTGCGCGGGAGGGGGCCTGTGGTGTTTGGGGCGGGGCCGGGCGCAGGGACTCGGGCCGCTGCAGTGGGGTGTGGCCTGGGTGACTGCAAGCAGACCCGACTGAGAGAGAACAGGCTGCGGCGCACCTTGCCAAGTAGCCTTCCAGGCATCCTGGCTCCTATGGTCCTCTGGTGCCAACCGCGCGTGCATGAGCCAGCCACTCAGTGCAGCACTCCCCCATTCCTCACCCGTGGCCACCAAATCCATCCCAATAGGTATGCGACTGTGAGCTGGCAAGACGAGCAGGACATCCGGTCCGGCAAGAAGGTCGGGACCATGTGGGGCATCATGACCAAGGAGGAGGCCGCTAGGGTCAAGCCGGAGGAGGGAACCAAGCCCCATATGAAGGACAGGGCCGATGAGGAGGAGGGGGATGAGGAGGCCCCTCTGCGCATCAAGCCCTTTGGAGGCAAGGGATCTGCACAGAGCGTGCTGGCTGCTGCATGAGGGTCGTGTGCAAGCAGCAGAGGGGGCGCTTCAGGGACACCTACTCCTCCTCAGCATGCCCTTGGTGCCATCTGGATTGCTCCGGGCGTTTCCTACCCACATGTTCTGCAATGCATGAGCTAGTAATAAAGGAGCACTTGAGTAACATGGATGACGGCATCGAGTCCCTGGGGAGAAGAGAGGAGAGCTGCTGAGCGTGCCGTGTCGCCGGAAGCGATCCACGATAATTTAGGAAACCCGCAACACTCTTTCGTAGACAAGGCGACGATGCAAGCGGTATTCAAAATAGTCAAGCATGCCCAGGTCCTCGACTGCACGACCTGATGGCGGTATACGCGCACTTCAAGGCGGTATGAGTGCCTGTCAACTGTAACCAAGCAGGGGAGGCGAGCCCGGAGGACAGCCAGCATGTCTGTGATCCTGGAGACCAGCAAGGGAGACATCGTCATCGATGTCTTCGTGGACGAGTGCCCAAAGGCTGCCACTAATTTCCTCAAGTGCGCCTCTGTGTGTGTGTGTACGGGGGGTGTCCCTACTATGTGTATGTCGAGCCTTGCTCCCCAGCTAAAAAGCTACAATCACTATCTTCATGGTACCCCTCCCCCTTCATCAGACTGTGCAAGATCAAGTACTACAACAACTGCCTGTTCTACAACGTCCAGCGGAACTTCATCGCCCAGACAGGCGATCCCACTAATACTGGCAAGGGTGGGGAGTCTGTTTACGGGGTGCTCTACGGGGAGCAGGCCCGGTTCTTCGAGGATGAGATCCGACCAGCGCTGAAGCACAAGAAGAAGGGCATGGTCGGCATGGCCAGTGAGTGCCGCTGTGGGGGTTTGTGGGTGGCGCGGGATACCGGGCCTGATAAATCTGCTGGGGAGTGCTTTTTGCTGGATGCCCCTTGCAGAATGACTGAAAGGGTGACAATGAAGTATGGCTTGGTCGACAGTCACCCCTCCTGAGATTCCCCATCGCCGCCCCCCCCCCCACAAACACACTCACCACTAGGCGTCGGCCCCGACGCCAACGCCTCCCAATTCTACATCACCACCGGGGAGGAGCTGCAGAGCCTGGACGAGAAGCACACCATCTTCGGGGAGGTGGCGGAGGGCTGGGAGGTGCTGGAGGCCATCGACGACGCGCCGTGCGACGACGAGGGTCGCCCGCTGCAGAACATCCGCGTGCGCCACACCATCGTGCTGGACGACCCCACCCCCGACCCGCCGGCGCTGGCTGTGCATGTCCCCGACGCCTCCCCGCCGCCGCAGTTTGCAGAGGACGGGCGGCTGGAGGACGACTGGGAGCCGGGGGAGGACGCGCGGCCTGCGGAGGAGGTGGAGCGTGCGGGGCGCGAGGCGGAGGCGCACAACCGCGCGGTGGTGCTGGAGATGATCGGGGACCTGCCGGAGGCGGATGCCAAGCCGCCGTCCAACATGCTCTTCATCTGCAAGCTGCACCCCGTGACCAGCGAGGAGGACCTGGAGACCATCTTTTCCCGGTTCGGCAACATCACCTCCTGCGACATCATCCGCGACTGGAAGACGGGGGACTCGCTGTCCTACGCCTTCATCGGCTTCGACACCGAGAAGGCGTGCGAGGAGGCCTACTTCAAGATGAACAATGTCCTCATCGACGACCGGCGCATCAAGGCAAGCTCGTCATTGGCAGGGGGGGGCGCAGTGAGAGGGGTGTGGAATGAGGAAGTCGTTCGCATGGGGAGGGCGTGCATCCTGAGCGAGGCGGTGCTCTAACAATGTGGTGCGGCACCAGGACCGGCCGCCTTGATGGCTTGCAAAGACCTGTGCAGGTCCTTGACCGCCATCGTAATCCCCCTTCATATCCTTTCAACCCCAGGTGGACTTCAGCCAGAGCGTGCACCACCTGTGGCGCCAATTCAAGCGCTTTGGGAAGAAGGGGAACGCTGAGCTGGCAGACGCGGCAGCCGGCCACGACCGCGGCGGCAGGGACGCAGGTGGGGCGAGGGGCTCACATTGCTGGCAGGCCAGCCGGCGTGTCCTTGCAACAGTGCTGGGCGAAACGCAGGGCCCTTGGAGCGGCCCCAGGCGACGCTGCTGCCATGGCGCCCTGTTGCCGGGTGGCGATTCTGTGACTCATCCTGCTCTCCCCTCCCATGCAGGCACATCAGGCCGGCTGGAGCTCAAGGAGCAGTTCCGTGGCCCAACACTCAATCACGGGAGGGGCAACAGGGAGGGCTACGGTTTAATCCTAGATCATTACGAGGTACGTGGGGAGGGGAGACCCTTTCCCTGGTTCGATTGACTCCCTGTCAGATGCCTGGGTGGCCCAGAGACTCTGGCCTGACCAAAGCGCCGGCCTGGCTCAAGCCCAGGAGCATGACCGAGGCAGTGCAGGCCACCGCTCCTCGAGCTTGTGGCAAGAAGCTGGTGTCCTCATCGCACCCACACCCCATGCGTGCACAGGACCATGGGCGGCCGCAGGGCGGGGCGCGCCCCCTGTCCCCGTCTCGCGACAGTGGGAGGCCGGGGCGGATGGAGAAGCAAGAGGAGCAGGAACGTGGGCCTTCCAGGCGGCACACGCGCAGCAGGAGTCGGGAGGGGAGGCGCGGCCGGCACAGGAGCAGGAGCAGGGAGGGGAGGCACGGGAAACCCAGGAGCAGGAGCCGGGAGGGGAGGCACGGCAACCACGGGAGCAGGAGCCGGGAGGAGGGGCACGGCTGTCACGACAGCAGGAGTCGGGATGGGCACTCCGAGCATCGAGAGCGCTCTGACAGGCGCAGGGATTCCGAACGGGAGGGGAGGAGGGACCGCAGCGGGGACAGGAAGCGTCGCGGGCGCTGCAGGTCCCTGGGCAGGAGCGATCCTGGAGAGGTGGAGACTGAGAGGCGGCCTCACGCCCATCGGCATGCTGATCGCCACTAATACGGATTTTCCACCCTTGGATGGAAACAAATGGAGCATGGCAGGTCGAGAGGGCGTCCAGATCGTCATGCTCCCATGAGAGATCAATGACCGCCTGCGTCGATGACCCAAAGATCTTCCCTCCACCCCCCCGCGATGGCCATTACGCAGTCATTCGCCAGCGCAATCCGGTGCAAATTAGGGGCATTAGAATGGAATATCCAGTAGTGTGGTGTTCTATTACAGTTGGGATGCGTCTTGCAGAAGCTGCGCTTAAAACGTGGGCGACTCCCCCCATCCGCGGGTCGTCCCGGGAACAAATCGGCGGGCAGGGCGTGCCAAGTGTTTCTGAGCTGCTGGCGCGCCAGACCCTTCCCGAGGCTTGATGCAGAAAGGCACCCCCAGTGTCACACAATACCCAGTTCGTCTGTACCCTGTTTATTCCCTGTCTGGCACTCAGGGTTTGGGATTCTCAAACACATCCCCCACCCGTGCCAAGATGCAGTTCGCCCCCTCGGCCCGGGCTACCCTGCCTGTGGCGAGCTGCCGGCCCCGACTGGTGGCAACTCGCCCCATTGCTCGTGTGGCAAGCCTGCACACCGCCAAGGCGGCAATGGTGCCCCAGCCGCTGGTGCGCCTTGGGGTTGGGTAGGGTCTGGCGTCTGCACTCGTTGGGCCGGGGCCGAGCAGCCATGACGTCGCTCCGCGTCGGTCCATATCGGAATGTGGTCGGCCAGAGTCTGTCTACTTTTTCAGGAAGTTCGAGTGGCCGGGCCGGATGTCCCCGCGTCCTGGGTCCCGCGCCTTACCCTCCCATCCCCATGCACCCCTGTCCCCAGATGGCTAGGCCTCTGGGGCTGGCGTCCCTGCCCGCCCAGCAGCGCGCCAAGCCCACTAGCGTGCGCGTGGAGGCCAGCAGCAGCGCAGCTGCCCCCGCCCCGGCCCCCAAGGAGGGTTCCTTCCTGGGCATCCCTGCCTTCACCTGGCAGAAGATCGTCCCCCTGGGCATCATGTTCTTCTGGTGAGCTCCGTCCTGGGTGCTTCTGGTGCCTGGCAGTGCTGTAATTTGCCTTGTTGGCAATGTCGAACGCCTGTGTCATGATCGTCGATGCGCCCCTGCTCAAGCGGATCCCTGGCGTCGGGCCTTGCGTACCCCGCCCGCCCATCCTCGAACCCATGCATGGGGTCCCAAGCGCATGCTGACCCTTCCCCCCAGACCGCCCCTTCACCCCTGTACACCACACGCCTCCCCCCCACAGCATCCTGTTCAACTACACCATCCTGCGCGACACCAAGGACGTGCTGGTGGTGACCGCCCCCGGGTCCGGCGCGGAGATCATCCCCTTCCTGAAGACGTGGGTGAACCTCCCCATGGCCATCGGCTTCACCATCCTCTACACCAAGCTGGCCAACGTGCTGAACAACGAGCAGCTGTTCTACACCTGCATCATCCCCTTCATCGCCTTCTTCTCCGCATTTGCCTTCCTGCTCTACCCCCTGCGCGACGTGCTGCACCCCACCGCCTGGGCCACCCAGGCCCTGGCCCAGTACGGCCCGCGCTTCGCCGGCCCCCTGGCCATCGTGCGCAACTGGACCTTCTGCCTCTTCTACGTCATGGCCGAGCTGTGGGGGTCGGTGGTGGTGTCGGTGCTCTTCTGGGGCTTTGCCAACCAGATCACCACCGTGGACGAGGCCAAGCAGTTCTACCCGCTCTTCGGCCTGGGTGCCAACGTGGCCCTCATCTTCTCCGGCCGTGCCGTCAAGTGGTTCAGCCAGATCCGGGCCAGCCTGCCCCCGGGCGTCGACGGCTGGGGCTACAGCCTGAAGGGCATGATGGGCATGGTCTCCGCCTTTGGCCTGGTCATCGTCGCGGTGTTCTACTACCTCAACCGCACCGTGGTGCCAAGGGTGCAGGACGCCATCCCCAAGCGCGCCAAGAAGAAGAAGGAGCCGATGTCGGTTGGCGAGTCCTTTGCCTTCCTGGCCAAGTCGGCCTACATCCGGAACCTGGCCACGCTGGTGGTGGCCTACGGCATCTCCATCAACCTGGTGGAGGTAACCTGGAAGTCCAAGATCAAGCAGCAGTTCCCCAACCCCAACGAGTACTCCGCCTTCATGGGCGACTTCTCCACCGCCACGGGCGCCGTCACCTTCACCATGATGCTGGTGTCGCGCTGGATCTTCTCCCGCTTCGGATGGGGCATGGCCGCCCTCATCACCCCCACCGTCCTCCTCATCACCGGTGGGTGGCGGCGCGTGTGTGGTGGTGGGGTTGAGGGCGGGGTGTTGTGAGGGAGTAGGAGCGGGGTATTGTGAGGGAGTAGAAGCGGGGTAGTGTGAGGGAGTAGGAGCGGGGATGTTAACAAAGATGAGTGGAACTTGTGCTGCATGGCCTAGGGATCAAGAACGGCCCTGGCCATGTTGCCGCACATACTAGACTCGTACGTGATCCCGACATGTGTGCCAATCGGTGTTGCCGTCCACGCATTCACGCGCATGCATGCCCAGGCTCTGACCGCACCCCCAACTCCAGAGAACCACCTCACCCCTCGTCTCACACCCCCCTCTCCTCCCCCCCAACCCCCTCCCCTCCAGGCGTGGTCTTCTTCGCATTGGTGCTGTTCAGCACCCCCCTGACGCCCATGCTGGCGGGGCTGGGGATGACCCCCCTCTTCGCCGCCGTGCTGGTGGGCGCGGCGCAGAACATCTTCTCCAAGTCCTCCAAGTACTCGCTGTTCGACCCCTGCAAGGAGATGGCCTACATCCCCCTGGACGACGAGACCAAGACCAAGGGCAAGGCCGCCATCGACGTCATCTGCAACCCGCTGGGCAAGTCAGGCGGCGCACTCATCCAGCAGTTCATGATCATCGGGTTTGGCTCGCTGGCCGCCTCCACCCCCTACCTGGGCATCATTCTGCTGGTCATCGTGGCCGGCTGGATCGCGGCAGCCAAGGACCTGGACTGGCGCTTCTCCGCACAGCAGACGGAGGCCGCCGAGGCCAAGCTGGAGCTTGCGCGCAGCGACGCGCGTGCCGCACAGGAGGCCAAGGACTCCTCTGCCTGATTTTACACCGGGAGCAAAGCCCCGCCAGCCCCACCGGATGACCTGCCGTCTGCAGGACCACATGGTGGCAGCCCTGTGCAGGGGGAGCCACCCTTCCCTCCTCCTCCCACCCAAGGGATGATGGGGCTCCCGCCCCAACCACCCACTGGTCGCCCCTGCACGACCCAGCGGGATGCCTACCTCCACATCCGCCCCCACTGTCTCTGACCCAACACACACTGAACCCCCGTTGCTCTCGCTCGTTCGTATGGTGTCTTCTCCCTGCAGAATGCGCAACTCCGTGCCTTTTCGGCCTAGACGCCTTTCACGAATTGCCACGAGCGAGGGTGCCGCAGCGCTGGGAAGGTCCCGTAGTGTCGAGGAGTGCACGCGCGCTGGGACCTCATGCATATGCCTGTCGGCCCACTGCGTACTTGCAAGGGCGAGCATCCAAGTCTGGAGGATAGAATGCGAGAAATTCCGACATATAATATAAAACGCTGCTTGTCTCGCCATCGCAACTTTCGATCCCTGGCGAACTGACCGTGTGAAGGCGAGACATCCAAGCCCGCACGTACTCCAACACGGAGCTCGAATGGCCCCTCAAGTCATCACAAACACTGTACCTGTGGTGCCATATGGGGAATTATCGCCCCAGAGGTTCTGGAGGGAGTTTGTAAGCCAGCGACGACCGGTGCGCAGGCCGTGGACAATGTGACATGGCCGCTCACGCTGGGCATGTTATTTCTGGAGTCAATCTCCGTGCCCTCACCCTGTGCGAGTGTCGACTCCTTCCTTCAGGTGGTACTGGATGGCCTGGACGCCCATTTAGCAGAACTTTCCAGGAAATGGACAAAGGAGAACCTCAGCGAGCGTGCGGTGCGTGTGTGGGTTTGGGTATTGCATGGCTGGCCACATTGGCTCCCCTCTACCAAGGCTTCAGGCTTCCAACGGCTCATGAACTCCCCAATGTGACAGGGAGACTGCATGCTGGAGGTGGAGTTTTCCGACGAGGGAGCAGCGCGGAAGTACGGCCAGGGGATGAAGCAGACCATGCCCTTTCGCCGGTTCCTGCAGTCCATTGCTGATGGGGAGGACTCGCGGTACCTCACCACCCAGGATGTCAGTCGGAGAGCGTGATTGGGAGTAGGAGAGCGTGCCTCAGAGTCTTGAGCCTGCACTGGGTCCAGAAGGGTAACCCAGCATATGCTGGCTTGCCCCGTTCTCCCACCCCCGTAATCGTCCCGTCCCCTACACCCAGGTCCCCACCGAGATTGACGGCCACCCCGCCCTGTACGGCAGCCCCCTCGTGGCGCTGGAGGGGGACTTCCCCCGGCTCCCGGAGCTGGCCGGCAGCCTCGTGCCCGCCTCCATCAACCTGTGGATGGGTCTGTCGGCGCAGGGCACCAGCTCCGGCCTGCACCACGATTTCCACGACAACCTGTACTCCCTGCTGCGCGGGAGGAAGACCTTTAGGCTGTGGCCGCCCTCGGCGCTGGACTCCATGTATCCACACGGCCGGCCAGTCAAGCGCTGGCCCAATGGCAGAGTGGTGTACAGCGAACAGGTACCGCGCTGGGTTTGACTTTGCCAGGGAGGTGTAAGAGGAGGGTGCCCCCCGGCTCTACGTGCCACACCTCTGGTGCTCTCCATGACGAATCGAATGCCTGGCTCCTGGGTGGGCTACTTGGAGTCGTCCCCCTGCCCAGACCTTTGGACCTGGTGCTCGCAGGGGAACATTGGGCCAGATGGGGTCGACATGGATGAAGAGCGGCGCTGGGAGGAAAAATTTGCTGCTGAGATGGAGCTGGAGATGGCTGAGAAGGCTGTGGAGGCTGGCGAGCAGGTGGGCTGCCACCTGTGGCTCCATTGTTGAGGCAGGCAGGGTTGATATTGTTCCAAGTACGGGAGACAGCCTCCTGTCCTTGGAGGGGGCATGATTGCGGGCTTCCCGCTCAGGCCCATTGCCAGAACACCCAACCACATGACCCACAGGGTGCAAAACGGCGGCTGCAGGCTGCCAACAGGAGGCTGGATGCAGTCATGGATGCGGCGATGGACGAGGGATCAGAGTGGTTGGATGACTTTGATGCGATGGAGAGACCTGCTCAGAGGCCCGCCACCTCAGGTGTGCCCCTGCCGGGTGAATGTAGATTATGAGGAGGAGTCGCAGCGAACACTAGTGCAAGTGGCACTGAAGCCTCACCTGTGCGCAGTAAGCTGTCATCAAGGCATGCTTGTTTTGCCAAGACAGAGCGCCCCTGTGCCGGCACAGGTGCGGCCCCTATTCCTCCCAGCTTCAGTCGGATCGACGCTGACCTGCCACCAGCTGAGATCAAGAAGAAGTTTCCTCGTTTCAAGGTGCGCTACTGTGCGAGGGAGGGTGTAGGAGGACAATCCTGCCTGTTGACGTCTGTCGAGGCACATGCATGCCAGGTCGGCCACAGCGCCGAGAGGCCATGCCCATCATGAAACTTCTCGCGGGGATGGTCCTCACCAAGTCCCATGTTCTAGAAATAACACTTCCAACCCCACCGGCCGCCGGGAGCAGGGGTTTTCCAGTGCCATCACGTGCACGGTGGAAGCAGGGCAGACCCTGTACCTGCCGGCTGGGTGGTGGCATGAGGTCACCAGCCAGGGGTTTGGGGGTTCAAAGGACGCTCCCGGGGAGCACATGGCTCTGAACCACTGGTTCCACCCCCCTGACAACCTGGATGCAGAAGCGGGCTTCAGCAAGCCATACACGTGAGGAGGAGAGTGGGGCAGCGAGTGTGAAACTGTCATGGCTGTGCAGCCTGGTGATGTGATGGTCACGTCGAGAGTCCTTGCATGAGAGCTGGACGGCCACTGCTGACACCATCCCAAAGGTCAGCTCCTCCCATGACAACCCCCTCCTCATTGCAGCTCCGACTTCTGGCCTGCGGTGTGGAGGGGGCGATGCAGGCTCGCTGCCGCCGCGCTGGGTGGGACGGCAAATCCTGGCTCAGAAGCTGGGGGAGACCTGGTGCTCCTGCAGGCGGCTGGGCTGTCGCACGGGCCTGTTGATCACCACCATGATCACCGCCACCATCATCACGGTGGAAAGTCCTGCTGCTCGGGGCACCGCGCGGGCGCAGGGTACAGGCCGCTGAAGTGGGATGGGCCATGGGGCATGGGCCGGCGGCACCACCTCAACCGATTCCTGGCAGTGGCGGCGTTCCAAGCCCCTGCCAAGCGGCGGCGGGGGCTGTGATGCTGGGGCGTGAGTTTTAGGGCATCCAGAGCAAACCGCGATCAGAACTGCTGTAGAATTGCTCGCCAGCCGCCATGCAATGCAGCTCGGGGTCAACACCAGAGCACGGGATGGCAATGCACTCGACAGTCTCCACCGCCAAGGTGAAGGAGCACCCTGCAAGTCCAGTCCGTTGTAATTTAGGTCCACCCTCCACATCAGCCTGGGTTACACCTGTGTGAAGCAAATCTGAGGTTGCTCATGCCTAGCACTTTCGTGGAGGCTGCTGCAGAAGTGGGAAGGGACCGTGTCACCCAGCAGCACTCACAGCACAAGTTGTTACTGCATTCCATGCAAATTTTGGTGAGGTCGTCAGATTTGCGAAGCATGTTGTAGTTTGAGACTGAGAGGCGATAATCATGTATGGAAGGGGAATCAATTTTGCACCAGATCGGAGTGGCGCCCTGCCATCGCGACGAGTGTTTCTTGAGAAGGACCGCGCCTAGACACCTGATCATTGTCAGATTGCTTTAAAAAGATTTCAGCCTTTCATTTATTTCGATTCTTAGCATACCGTAACAGCCCAGCGAATCCGGGCAGCTTGGTCGAGGATCGCACCAACACACCTCCCTCTCAAGGAGGTGGGGACACGATGCACACAGCCCTGTACAGGGCCAATGCGCTACTCACGTATGCCGGATCAGTGCTCGCAGTCCTGTGCGTACTGGCTACGATAACAGGTGCCAATCAGAGTTGGAGTGAGCTGTGCCTACAGGCGCATTTCAAGGGATGTATACAATGTCTCAAGCATCAGTGTTCTCACTCCGCCTTTTGATTTCGCAGATGTGTTCCATACTGCACATCCCTCCGTAACATGCGAGTTCAAGGGCATCGACGGCCTGCAAAGAGAGTATGGCCACGACAGGGTGCGCTGGGGCTGTGGGTGGGTCATGGCCTCGGGCCTGGACAGGCAGCGACTTCCAGGCATTTACAGGTAGCTGCTCCAGGGACTCCTATGATTTGCACCTCGGCCACGTGTTTAAGTAGCCTCATTTACCTCACACCCTCCAGGCCTACCCAGTGCTGAGCCTGAGGGGTGACTGGACAAGCGAGTTCACGTGGAACACAAAACAGATCTTCGTGTATGCCAATGTGGAGTTTGAGACACGGCAGAACAAGCGGAACGAGATGCTCATGTGGAGCAAGCTGCTGACCAGCAAGGTGGGTGATGAAGGGCGGCTCGACTGTGGTGTTGGTTTACTGCATGAATAACAGCCAAGGGAGTGGATGGAGCCTATGCTGTGACAGGCATCCTTTTCCCCAAAGATTAGTGAGTGGACGCAGAGGGTGCCCTTGTAATGTCTGTTGACCCAAGATGGGCTGTCGGGTCGAATGCTATTACAAGCGGGATGAGTGTGCCTTCCACTACTGAGCGAGATGGGGGCACTCGTCGGACCTTCCTTGCGATACGGTGCCACAGCTCACCCCTCCCCATTCCCCCTCTGCAGGACGAGGCGACTGTTGACCTCCCTCGCCTGGCCCAGCAGTTCCCCTATGCTGTCACGGACCAGGGTTACACGCTGCGGGGCACGCCCTTCAACATCAGCATCACCTGGAACGTGATGCCACGTGTGGGGCGCCTCTACACCCGCACGCAGGCGTTTGGGCCCTGGGAGCTGCCGCAGGACTACCAGACCCTCCAGAAGGAGGGCTGAAGGGATGGCAGGGTCTTGGCCTTGCCCGCGGAAGTTTTGCGTGCACGACTGTCAGCGATGGACACTGCTGTGAACGAAGGCCCGGCCGCAGCCCGCCGGAGGTCCTGCCATGTGCATCTTGTCGATTCAAGGGACTGTCAGCACGCGTCACGCGAGCATGCCTGTGCCCACGTCCACGCTGCTCACTCCTGCATGGCCGCCTCGCCGGCGACGACGTTGCACAGCTGCCACTCGCCCCCGAAGTCGGGCCGCCAGAGGCAGACCTGGCCGCGCTGGGTGGAGCACGCCAGCCAGGTCCCCAGCGGGTTCCACCCCACCTGCCAGACGGGGCTGTCGTGCGGCAGCACGGCCGAGCGCCGAACCTCCAGCGCATCGATTGTGCCGCGCAGCGTGCACAGCGTGACGACGGACCCGGATGCTGTTGCCACCGTCTCGTGCGCCCGGCCCAGGGCCGGGCCCCACGCCGCGCTGGTCACGCTCTCCAGTCCCGCTGCTGCGATTGGTCGACCTGCGTGCGCCGGGCCCGTGCCTTCCCCATCGCCGGCCAGGGGTAGGTCTGTGGCCTTGACCCAGGACGCCGTCTCTTTCCTCAGCCACCACACCGCCGCCTGGCCGCGGGAGGTGCCGACCAGGAGGAGGGACGGGAGCGCGGTTCCATGCGCCGCGCCGTCGCCGATGTCATGCCAGCTCAGGCAGGTGGGTTTGCCGGCGGCGCCGCTGCACCGTAGGCTGTTGCAGGGCTCCCAGGCCGTATGGGACGGGTCGCGGTCGTTCCGCTCGAAGAATCTGACAAAGTACAAGAGGGGTGAGGATTGAGCACCCAGGGTAACAAATACCGGGAGGGGAGCTAGGGTCGCATGCCTGCCCCCACGGCCAGCACGGCCCAGCAGCAGCTGCCTACCTCACGAAGCCGTCCTCGCAGGCAGCGGCCAGTGTGCAGGCATGGGTAGCTGAGCTGGGATCGAAGGCTAGCTGGCGCAGGGAGGCCTTCCCAGCTTGCAGACGGGCGATGCGCGTCCAGCATGGTTCGGGGGACGTCGGGTCACAGGCCCAGAGCATGAGGCGGCCAGCACCTGTTCCCGCAGCGAGGAGGGGGCCCTGATCGGGGGGAGCCCATGCCAGGCTGCTCACGTGTTTATCGCTGTCGTCCAGCTGCAGCACGCCATGGGGATGGAAGGAGCGGGAGGGGTCCTCCCTGCGAAGCACGCGAATGTGGGCAGACGACAGCACCGCCAGCCAGGTATTCGTGCAGTCATATGCCGCATCGACCGCGGATGTTCCCACAGGACAGGTCAGAGTCCTGGTAGACATCCTATTCCGGCTGTGGAGCAGAAGATTTTCGTATGGCCGCGAGAACTTGAGGGGGGCCGGGGAAAATCAAGTACAAGCCCGATTTCCCAGCTCCGAGGGGGCCTTCATCAAATTGATCATGTCAGAAGAGTTGCACGTCTCACCAGAACATTGATCGGGTCAGATCGCAGTTGTTGGGTGGGGGGGGATGCCTGCTCTCCCGAACAGCACCTAGCCAGGGACCTGTTCGCGCGCGTCGGGCATCAATCCGCGAGAGGAAAGCACGTCGGCGCACCTAGGGAGGTAGCGCCATCAGGAACCCTTCGCATCCCCTGCCCGGAGTCATGTGGCAGCCCATGAGGAGTGAATCCAGTCTCGATCTATCATTATACGGAGACCATCTGCTCATGCACCTTTGTGACTCGTGCTGACGCCGCCAGAGTCCCTACCCTCGAAAGCCCTAACCCACCCTCGCTTCGGGTTTGCCCCTCGAACGGTGGGCGCTGAGGGTGCCTTCGTCCCCGCTCCACCCGGATCCCTGCATCGCATCGATTGTTTGAGCATACTCCTGGTCCAGCGACCCCCGAGCCACCCCCTGCCTCAGCAGCATGAGCCTCCTCAGCACCAGGCGGGACGGCTTCGCCACCGCCCTGTCCATGTCCAAGGACGGCCCCTCCGCCTACGCCCTGGAGGTCAACCAGGCCCTCCTGAAGGAGGACGACGACCTGCTGCGCCAGACCTTCCTGTCTGTCTTCCGCCACCACCACCCCCAGCTGGCCAACAAGGTGGATGTCATCTTTGCGCTCTCCCAGGCGTGGTGCATGTCTGAGAGCGACGACGACTTCGACATGCTGGTCAAGAGGCTGGAGACCCTGAAGCCCGACGAGCACATCCTGGTGGGTGGAAGGGTTTCCAGAGCTTCCTACTGCTTGGATCTGTGGGGTCCGGGGGATCGGGTTTCGTGTGTGTGTGAGTAAACTGGACCCCTGGCCATCCATGCTTCTGGATGTGCTCCAAGGGGGCAAGCAGGGGTCAGTCCCGGCACGGCATGGGTACTGAGATGCAGTGAATGCGTCAAGGGCTTAGGGTTTGGCCCGTGTCCTTGCCTGCTGTGGAGCCTTGCCATGCACTACCCTTAGGACACATGCCTGGTATAGCAGGAGTCATGGGGAGCTCCGGGTTCCAGTCCCCTGTTAGTCGGCTGCATGTCCCACCCCTCTCGCCCTTGCACCTCGCCATGCAAACCACATTTCCCCCGCTTGTACCCCCCAGGTGGCCAGCGCCTTCTCGCAGCTCCTCAACCTGCACAACCTGACCGAGGAGATCGTGACGGCGCGTGTGGAGAAGGCGGCGCGCCTGGGCGAGGTGGAGCAGAGCACGCGGTCCACCAACAAGTCGCTGGAGCGCCTTGTGAACGAGCTCGGACAGAACCCGGAGGACATCTTCAAGGCGCTGTGCCGCCAGCGCGTGGACATCGTGTTCACGGCCCACCCCACCCAGGCCATCCGCCAGTCGCTGCTGAAGAAGTACCAGAAGATCCGGAGCGAGATGGACGCACTGCACAACACGCGCATGACGCCCTACGAGCGGCTGGAGTGCCTGGACGAGATCAAGTCCCAGATCCAGGCCGCCTGGCGCACCGACGAGATCCGGCGCAAGAAGCCCACGCCCCAGGACGAGTCGCGCCAGGGGCTGAGCTACTTCCACGACACCATCTTCCACGGCCTGCCCGTGTTCCTGCGCCGCATCGACACCGCACTGAAGAACATCGGGCAGCCCATGCTGCCCCTGGACACGAAGCTCTTCAACTTTGGCGCTTGGATGGGCGGTGACCGCGATGGCAACCCCTTCGTCACCGCCGCCACCACACGCGACGTGGTCCTGGGCGCGCGCCTGTCGGCCACCATGCTGCTCCAGAGCCAGATCAGCCGGCTGGTATACGAGTTGTCAGTCTGGCGTGCCAGCGACGAGCTGACCGCCGCTGCCGCCCGGATCCTGGAGGCGCGCAAGGATGGCCTGTACGCGCACACCACGCGCGAGTCGTATGAGACTGAGTTCGGGTCGGTGCGCGAACCCTTCCGCGTGGTGCTGTCGGAGATCCGGGAGCGTCTGAACAGCACCAGCACCACGCTGCGCTACCTCATGTCGCACCCGCACCTGAACGTGAAGGAGACGCTGGACAACGACCCGGGCGCGTACTCCGACGCGGAGGCCATCATCACCCCCCTCATGCTCTGCTACGACTCGCTGGTGGCCACGGGGGACAGCACCATTGCCTTCAGCGAGCTGACCGACGTCATCCGTCAGGCCCAGACCTTTGGCCTGCACCTCTGCCAGCTGGACATCCGGCAGGAGAGCACGAAGCACGCCGAGGCCATCGACGCCATCACCACCTACCTGGGCCTGGGCTCCTTCAATGCCTGGGACGAGGCCCAGCGCACCGCCTTCTTACTGAAGGAGCTGGAGGAGCGGAGGCCGCTCCTCCCCGCCGACCTGCCCATGAGCGAGGAGGTGGCCGACGTCATCGGCACCTTCAAGATGCTGGCCACCCTGCCCTCCGACTCCCTGGGCGCCTACATCATCTCCATGGCGCACACCGCCTCCGACGTCCTGGCGGTGCTCCTCCTCCAGAAGGAGTGCGGCATCCGGGAGACGCTGCGCGTGGTCCCCCTGTTTGAGACCCTGGACGACCTGGAGTACGCCGAGACCGCCATGGAGCAGCTGTTCGGCAACGCCTGGTACCATGCACACATCGCGGGCGCGCAGGAGTGCATGATCGGCTACTCCGACTCGGGCAAGGACGCGGGGCGCCTGGCCGCCGCCTGGGGCCTGTACGAGGTGCAGGAGCGCCTGGCAGCCGTGGCCGCCAAGTATGACGTCCACCTCACCCTCTTCCACGGCCGCGGCGGGACCGTGGGACGCGGCGGCGGCCCCGCCCACCTCGCCATCCTCTCCCAGCCGCCCAAGACCATCAGCGGCACCCTCCGCGTCACCGTGCAGGTGCGTGGCTGGGTGCTTTAGTACGCCGTTGTATCGAGGATGGAGGAAAGGGGGCGGTTGCATGCGGTCATCCGAGGGCGAGAACTGAGGTACTGGCGGGGGCGATCCGCAGTCCCTGCCCCCCTTCCAAACCCCCTTTCCCCCGGCTCATACTTCCCCACCCACTCAGGCCCCCCCCCCCCCTTCCCCCCCAATACCTCCACAGGGCGAGGTGATGGAGCAGCAGTTTGGAGAAAAGGAGATTGCCTTCCGCACCATGGACCTGTACACCTCGGCGGTGCTGGAGGCAACGCTGGCGCCCATGGAGGAGCCGCAGGCGGTGTGGCGCGAGGCGATGCGCGAGATGTCGCGCACCTCCTGCGAGGCCTACCGCGCGGTCGTCCGCCACGACCCGCGCTTCATCGAGTACTTCCAGACCCTGACCCCTGTGAATGAGCTGGGGCGCATGAACATCGGGTCGCGCCCCGCCAAGCGCAAGGCCCACGGCTCCATCGACACCCTGCGTGCCATCCCCTGGATCTTTGCCTGGACCCAGATCCGGTTCCACCTCCCCGTCTGGCTGGGCATGGGCCAGGCCCTGCGCGCCATGATCGACGCGGGCAAGCTGGAGCTGCTCCAGGACATGTACCAGAACTGGATGTTCTTCCGCGTCACCCTGGACATGCTAGAGATGGTGTTCGCCAAGGCCGACCCCCGCGTGGTCACCATGTACCAGCGCCAGCTGGTGGACGCCGGGCTGCACGCCCTGGGCGACGAGCTCCTCCGCACCTTCTACGAGGCCGAGGAGCTGGTGCTCAAGGTGATGAAGCACAAGGGCCTGCTGTCCAGCTCCAGCACCGCCTTCCTGCAGCAGAAGCTGCAGCTGCGCGCGCCCTACGTCGCGCCGCTGAACATCCTCCAGGTCTACTGCCTGAAGACCATCCGCGACATCGAGGCGGGGAAGGAGGTGGATGAGTCGGGCTACAACCCCGTCCCCGCCGCCGTGGCGCTGATGAGCCGCGACCCGGAGAAGACGCCCTTCGTGGGCGCCGTGGAGGACACCCTGTGAGTTCTTTGTTTATGGGCTTTATGAGACAGGAGGGGAA